AAATCAAGATCAATGAGTAGCTTTTGACCGTTGATACTGTGGGGGGTTGCTGAGATATCGATCCAATGGTTAATGTATACCACCCATCATTCTTATAAAATTATACATAATAATCTCACTGTATTACTTACCCAAAATACAAAATCTCTCACTTCAGTAATCATGTGATTTGTTGTTGATAAGTAGCCTTCACCTCACAAAGTATATATGCATGGACACTTAAGAGAATATTGTCGAATAAAATGATATAATAATTGTTCACCAAAGGGATTTTTAGTCTTCTTGTCAAGCGTTTCTTGTGCCCTACTTGAGTGACATCTCATCCACCATCCCTATTTTCTTACAAGCTACTGGTCCAATCCTATGGTTTTTTTTTTTTAGGGGGTGGGGATGAGGAGAATTTCTAAACTAGGTGAATAATCTCGTAAAGGTGACTTGTTAGTAATTGAGCTCGCGGTTGATTTACAATCCTAGGGTGATCTTTAAAACAGTAAATAAGAATATCAAATGGTGGCGATGACCGTGGTAGTGGCTTTGGTGGTGTAATTAGTGCTGGGATAACACACACACATACACGGAGGCAGGGAGAGAGAGAGAGAGAGAGAAAATAGGGATCGAAAAAGGAAAAAAAAAAAAGGGGATGATGTAGAGAGATGACATAGCCTCCGACAGAGAAATGACCACCGTGAGATGAGGGAGGATGGGATAGAATTTTTTTGGAGGAGGAAATATGTAGGAAATAAAAATTCAATTTGTTATGTGTTTTATTGGATAGATTATGTAAATGACTAATATGACGTAAAAACAACATAATATTTTTTTGTAGCAAAACTTGTTTTTCTCGTAAAGTGCTAGGAAATAATCTTTTTTTTTTACTATCCCCAAAAAAAAATAATGAAATCTTTTTTACAATGATTTTTAAATGTTACTTTGTTACTGTGTCATTGTGGGTCCCAATATTTATTAGGACCCGTTATCTATTTAATAATTATAATTATTAAATTTAATTTTTAAATTCACGTAACATTACTTTTTTTATGAATGCAAGACGAGGGAAGGACCTTCTTTGTCTTTTCTTATTTTTCTACGTTATTCCCTCAAACCTATAACATCTCCTTCATCTCCACCCACCCACGCCACGGCCCATCAATTTTGATGGTTTGAGATATTCTACATGAATACGTCTAATTTAGAATCGTGATTCATGCAAAACATTGCCTATGTCAAGACTGACTACGTTGTATCTTTGCAGAAAATAATGTATTAATTAAGGTCATTACGTTTTAAATAATTTTTCTTAATATATATAAATTTATTATACGTATATATACCCAACTACTACTACACAACTATCTTCTTTTAAGCAATACTGCGATTCCATGCTTTGATCGTTGTCAGCATTTTTTGTCCTATTCATGGCTTTTTAATATATATATATATATATATAATAATTTGATTCATCCACTCCTAGAAGCAGGACCAGAACTACACGAGGCGCTTAGGGCCTCCACTCGCCTAGGGTCGTATTCGTATATTTCTCATAAAAAAAATATGACTGAATTTTTAAAAAAATTTAGGATATCGTACGTAAAACTCAGTATCAAAAAAAAATTACTAATTTTTTTTTTAAATCATAAATATATGTATATTCAAAAAGAAAAAAAAGAGATCATGTCATATTCTTGTACAAAAAATTACAGCACTCTATTATTTCATTTTATCTAAATTCTTGATAACTCTGGTCTATTTATTCAGTTTTATTTTTTTGAACCATAATTGTTGCGTTAATTTTGATTTTAATATAATCATTTACACAATGTATTTATTATATAAGTTATTTTAAATCTTAAATATACCTACTAAAAGATATGAATTTAAATATTTAAAATTTTAAAACAAAANTTGAATAAACAATTCCAATAAAAAATTAGTAGTTCAAATAATAACATCGTCTAGCGGTGGATCTACCACGTGACCGGCATGCAAATTGTAATCAAGAGAATACCCATAAAACTTGAGAAATTTTACATCGAAATTATTAAAATTATATATTAAGTGAACCAAAAAAATGAATACATCAAACAGTATTAAAATTTTTATTTCCGAGACNTTGTAATCAAGAGAATACCCATAAAACTTGAGAAATTTTACATCGAAATTATTAAAATTATATATTAAGTGAACCAAAAAAATGAATACATCAAACAGTATTAAAATTTTTATTTCCGAGACCGTAGTCAAACCCAAACTTCTTGATCATAAAGTTTGTCTTCTTACAGCAGTCCCAAATAGACTACTAAACAAAGGCAAACCGTAAGAAGATTCCTTGTTGAGGGAGTAGTACTCATTTTCTCTTATAAAACATTACCATTTTTAAGCATGTCTGCACCACCTTGTCCGCCATCATAAAATCATGGAAAAACCACTTTCTTTGGTCTGACCAAACTCAACGACCAAACATTTTCCAAGTCTAGAAATCTTCTTCATTAGAGCTTTTAAGGTTTGAACCCACCACACTTTCCGACCATTTTTTTATGATAAACATTCGAATCTATGGGAACATTAGTCATGTATTGATCAATGGTGGGGGATGTCTTGCTCCCATTTATATGCAAACACGTGCTAATAGACATGATTAGTGCAATCACAGGCGATTCATGGCATTTTTAGACAGTGGAGTAGTGTATCATTGCAACATAGATAACTATGCTGACGCTCCGAAAAACTCTAACAAGCTTGTAATTTTGTGAGTTGATTTAAGAGAGAGGTTTAACCTTAGAAAGATAATATGTGAAACACAATGTGATGTTATGTCAAATACGTGTTTGGGTAATCATAAGAAATCTCCATCAATTGAAGACTCACGGGTATCTTTGTTTAATTAGAAAATAAGAGTATCTCGTAGTTCTTATTTTTCATGATCAAAGCACCAAAATATCTCAATCGACGACTCTTTACATTGATGACCGAGACCCTACCTCAATAACCCACAAGCAAAATAGAGGCTATATCGGAAGAAATTTTTGTGTGGGTTTAGCACACATTGTCAAATACATCACCGATAAAAATTTATATAAGTNAGGCTATATCGGAAGAAATTTTTGTGTGGGTTTAGCACACATTGTCAAATACATCACCGATAAAAATTTATATAAGTCTAATGAATGATTATCACTTATCATTTGTGAAAATTTTTAGCAAAACGTTAACTTGTGGTCACACATTTCCCAAGCTAGTTTGTGTGGCAAACTCTTATTAAATGTACACATCAGCTGTCACTGTCACGTGATGTATTAGAACCCGTGTCTCTTTTTTCCATTACTTGGGAACATTTCCCTTTCTATGCCCGAAGTCTTAAGAAGCAACCTCTCTCCCTTCTCTCCTCCACCATCCATGTAGCCCTCCTAGATCTTTCCGACAGTGACACGTATGAATGTTTCTAATTTTGCCCCTAAACCATTAGTTTAGCGGTTGTAGTAAAATCCAACCAACAAATGTACGCATGCGAAGCCAAGGCCTAACAAAAATATAATTGTTTATTTGTTGTTTACGATATTAATTAACTAATCATAATCCATACCTGAAAACACGATAACATATAAAATTCGAGCGTTCAAAAAATCGATTCTATTATATTAATTTTTTTCAAAATATATTAACTACAAATTAATTAAATATTAAATAATTAAATATATGATAAAAATGAGTAATGTAATATTTTTAGGNATTAATTACAAATTAATTAAATATTAAATAATTAAATATATGATAAAAATGAGTAATATGATGTTCTTAGGGAAAAAATATATAAATGATTAAACATATAATAGAAATAAGTAATGCGATTTCGCGTTTGAATTTGACAAAAAGATGATGGGTGAGGTAAGTAATTGATGATGATTTTGAGGGGAACAATATGACTACGATAAAATTCAAACATACTCATGTTTTATTATATAGATAGTTTGCCATAATTTATTTATATATAGTAATTTGATTCATCCTTTCCCAGAAGATTACTCCCGTTTAGGGTGTCAAATGTGTCAAATTGAATCATTTTGTGTCGGCTTGATTTCGAATTTACGTCAAAAGTCCTAAGATATGAATCTTTTTTTTTTGGTAAGTAAGATAATATCATTAAGAAAGGGAAAATGTACACATGTAAAACCCAAAATACGAACCTTACCTGTTTAGTAATGTATTGAAATGTGTAAACACTAACTAGACCTGACCATTAAACGGGTTACCCGACCCGATTTGTTCGACACGTTTAATAAACAAGTTATTTTTTGGTCAACACACATAACGTGACCTGGTTAATCGATTTAACACATAACACGACCTGTTTTCACCCCTGTTCATTACCATTAAATACAACATTCAATCATTCATCTAAAATTTTAAATAACTTTTTCACCAATAACATATTACATCCATCAATAAAATTAACTAAAATGCATTCAAGTTTCAACCCAAAAGTTAAAGAAAAAAACTATATTTGTATACTATCATAATAATGTTAAAACTATCAATTACAATAGTAGAAACAAGCACTAAGAAGTAATAATATTAAAACCACATCAATCATACATAATAGACAAATTATACTGTTATAAGCATGTTAATCGGGTCTATGATGAGATAGGTCGGATTCATGTCCGAATCATGTCAACACGTTTAAAATATAGAAATTAATCAAGTCAAAACCAGGTTGATTTGATTTTGACATAAACGTGACATAATTTGTTTGTGTTTAAGTATGTTGACTCATTTTTATCCATTGATTCATTTAATTTCATATTCAACTCATAAATTTTGTATTTAGTTTATATCATGTTAACGTATCAAAAAATTGATAGTCTTACCCCCATTAAAGCCTCTACGAAGACAAAAATAGTTATGATTAGCTATTGTCTTTTTCAGTAACACGGTGGAAAGGCATGACATAGTAACAAAAACTTTCATACAGATCAATTGTTTAAGTTCTTCGAGAAAACAAAACCAGCACTAGGCTGAGTACCCATGCCCATGATAAAGATATTAGTCTTGTCCTAGATATTCACAAATTGAGGCTAATTAATATATATTAGGACACTGATTCTCACATAGGATAATGAAAGAACAAAGTAATGGTATTACCTTGTATGTTGGTACATGACATGATCTGTGCAATAATTTTCCCACAAGTACCTCAAAATCTCACTTAGAATTTGTCTCATTCACAGAGTCAGATCTAGAGAACTTGCCATTCTTGACTGTTTTCTACTACCATCACTTTCTTCTAATCTGCTAGACTTTGAGGTTGAAGATGAGAACAAAGAAAGAGATAAACTACTATCAACCTTCCTGTCCTTCAAACTTCTCTCAAAATCATCATCTTTTGGGGTCATTTTCAGTGATAGATTCAAATCCAGGTCACAATTTGAATCTAAAACCTTTCTTTTTTGTGTTCTTGTTTCTTCCAGATTCACCAACCAGTTTTTGTCTGTGGAAAGAGAACCATGCACTTGATCTTTTCCTTTATCTTGCAGTTCTGTGATGGAGTTAAGTTCAGTTGAACTTGTTCTATATGGAGTTCGCCATGAACTAGGAGCTTGAAACAATGGAGGCTCCGCCAGATTTTCGAGGTTTCTGCGGGCACTTTGTGCCTGAAAAGAAGAACTAGCCATATGAAAACCACAACCAAGTAAATGGCCATTGTTGTTCCAAAAGATCCTCTCAGATGCTGAACCATAAATTCCATGTCTTGTTCCATTAAATGCAGCCCCACTCATGTAAGAACTATAATTCGAGCTTCCATGATGATTCCATAAAGCATCTCCATATCTTCAAAAAACAAAAGAAGAATAGAAAGAATTGAAACTACCCTCATCACAGATCATTTGCAATTGCAGAAGTGGGAAAAAAAGGAAGAGTTCACACCATATATAAATACCTTAAGCTAGAAATAGGCCTTTGATTGAAACCTTGTAGCATGGGAAGCTGGCTAAGGTTATAAACATGGTGATCCCCACCATCAACAACAAGCCTTTGATCTGAAATAGCTGACAAAAAAGTACAGTTAACCCATAAGAGAGAGAGAGAGAGAGAGAGAGAGAGAGAAGTCACACAACAAACCACATGACAAACCCTAATTTTTGTTCCATGTATAGATGAGCATAGATGTTACCTTGATAGGGATCATCAATCTTCTTACTCCTGTACATCTAATTGACAAAACCAAAAAGTTAAAAAAATGCGAAAAATTAATAATTGGGTGCTGAATTTAATCATAGGTTTGGAGCAGCAAAAACAAAATATTTTTTGCTGGTGGCATGTATTGGTATTTTTGAACAAATGTTTACCTGAAGATGACTCTTGACATGGGCGATGCTAAGGCCTTTGATGTTCATTGATTGAAGAACTAACTTAGGTGTTGCTCCTGCACCAATAGAATTCACAAGATATAATTATTGAATTCCATCAGTAATCGAGTCGATCAGGATGTGATCTTAGTTTTTTCTAGAGCGTGAAACTCGTTATTCAAAGAGGAGGCGATGATTATCAAGTTCTTCAAAGTCTGAAACTTAAGAACATATTTAGAAATAACTAAGAAAGAGGAAAGGGAATTAGAGAATACTCGACAGAATCCTCTGCGCTTAGCATAAATAACATGAGTATTGAAGATAGATAATCAAGAAAAATCCAAACTCACTATCTTGTCCTCCCAATCTTTCCACCGCATGAACAAACCGAAGATGAAGATCAGGAGTCCATCGGAGCCTCGGATTCTTTGATCGTACATATTGCCTTACAGATCCAGTGGTCGCCTTTTTTCCATTCTCTTCAACAGTGCTGTTGCTCGAGCTTGTTCCATTTTTCGATCTATGATTGTCATCAACCTCCTCATCCTCATCCTCTTCTTCATTTTTGTTGCTAGGGGTTGTCTTGGAGTCTTCTGTATCCTCACTTTTATTCATATCCTTTGTCTTTTTCCCTTCAGAAAGTGTTAATGATCAAGAAAAGGTTGTGTAATGGATTAGGGTCTTCTGGGCATCTTAGAAATGATCTGATGTCTTCGTCTCTCTCCCCTCCCACCTCAAGCAAAAGTAGATAGGTGTTTAATCAATGGAGAAGATAGTAGATGAAATTTTTGGCAAATAGTGCTAGAATTGGGAATGAAAACCCTCGCCTTAAAAATATAGAGAAGAATCTCTCTCCCTCTCCCTCTCCCTCTCCCTCTCTCTCTCTCTCGATTTGCTATAGATATGACTTGCATGCATGATGTACCGTGTACATGTGTATGGATGATAGTATGTGCGTGTGTACATGGACAAAGAAATAGGATAACCCNCCTCTCTCTCTCTCTCTCTCTCTCTCGATTTGCTATAGATATGACTTGCATGCATGATGTACCGTGTACATGTGTATGGATGATAGTATGTGCGTGTGTACATGGACAAAGAAATAGGATAACCCAGTCCCAGTCACATTATAGAGAGTACATATCACATACCAATTAAAAGGTGCAAAGTAAAATCCTAGCTTAACAAGCTTATGCTTCAAGACCATACAACATTCTTTTAAAAAATTGGTCGTTTTTTTCAATGCCATTTAAACTTACTGTTTAGAGATAAAAGTTGAATCTACCTTCAATACGTTCTAAGGTAGAGGAAATTTACTTGAATCTTTCTCTCAAGAAAAGNCAACATTCTTTTAAAAAATTGGTCGTTTTTTTCAATGCCATTTAATCTTACTGTTTAGAGATAAAAGTTGAATCTACCTTCAATACGTTCTAAGGTAGAGGAAATTTACTTGAATCTTTCTCTCAAGAAAAGGGTTGAGATAAATATTTTTGTGGTAAGTTATTTATTCTTCAACAAATACCAATATTCAACAAAGTTCAAACACGACCGAGAGGACACTCAAGGTAATTATTATCGCTCTACATATGCATACAAGAAATAGAGTCTAGGATAAAATTTCTCTTACAATGCGAGAGATTAAGTAGACAAAAATATCTTTCACCCCTAGGAGTTAGTGGAAAATCTAGAGAGAGAGATGTGCTGCATGTGTGTAAGAGTTGTCGTCCTAGTTGAGATCCGATGCTAAATGACTCCAAAATCAGAAAAATGCCACTATATTAGCGTCGAGAATCCCGGCTTTGTCCTCACTGGGGACTTGGAACTGGGGAATTGAGACTCATATACCCTTACCATAGCATTTCACTAGTTTTCCCCCTTCCAAATAGCCTTAGTTGAAGGATATTAAGCAAGCTCAATCCGTCTGAGTTACTAAAAAGAACAATCAATATGCCTTCAATAATCTGATAAAAAAAAACTGCCTATAATAAGTCTAATGAGTTGCACAGATTTGCTAGTGTTAATAACACCTTATTTTTGCGGATTGAAATCTATACGAGTACATTTTCTTTCAATTTTTTCTGAATGATAGAATGAATTCAAATAGGACTTAATGTTATAAATTGACACCTTACCCATATACCGTTAGTGATCCACTAGCTATTAAGTGAAATGCATTTTTAGTATAATAAAAGAGGTCAAAATCTTATTTTGGCAATTACCTTTCTTTTTTCCATACCTAGGAAATCGATGACANGTGAAATGCATTTTTAGTATAATAAAAGAGGTCAAAATCTTATTTTGGCAATTACCTTTCTTTTTTCCATACCTAGGAAATCGATGACATATGGTTGCACCCTTGTAAGAGTTTTTTTTTCTTATTTTGTTACCCTTGGAGTTTGTTTGGGAACAGAGATTCTCTACTAACACTAGAGGGGCCCACTAATGGTTGATGGGGATCCACAAATCGTAATATTTCACTTGTATATTAATTCAGAAGCTACCAGCCTACCCATATCATAATCTTTTGTATCATCCCCATATCCAGACCACCCCTGTTAATGCAGAAAGTGTCTGATGTACCCTTGGGGTTTGGTTGGAACTGAGATTCTCTACTTTGTTTCCAAATGAAAAAGTTTTAATGATCTAATATAAGTTTAGGAAGTCCTGTATGAAATATATATATATATATAGTAGTTATAGTATATTGCCCACTAATAATTGCAAATGAGTAAAACAATATCAGACTTTCCAGGGAAGTTTTAATTTTATAGTCCCAACAACAACAAAAAAAGGTAAAATCATTCAATTTCATTCTGTGGTAGATTATTTATCATGAATTCAAGTCAAACCTACTCTAATCCACACACGGTGAATGATTTAGTAGTGAGTGAAGTTGAGTAAAAGTATAACGAAGAGAATCTCGATCCATTTTTAAGAGAGTTTGAATTTGGGTCATTGCATCTTTAATTAAAGACATTCTTAATTTCCACAAATAAAACACATGACACTCTCAATTTCAAGTATAGTAAAATTGACTAAATTCAAACGTTCATCGTTATTTGACTTGCACTAAATTTCAATGAAACTGGTCTATTGGTACTAAATATGTGTATCAGCCATTAAACCACTACAATGACGCATTCAAGGGGGGAAAAAAACATAATTTGGTTAATTTTTGTAAACGATATCAAAATTTTTAGAATTTTCTTCTCTGTTGGTTTTTCTAGGTTTTCCCTTTTTCTTTTCCTTTTTTTTTCCACCCGCGGGGGGAGGGGTGAGCGTTTCAATAATGTTGTTTTTTGTCAAAGGTTTTAACAGAATCATCTTATGTGTTGTCATCCACATGATGTTTATGATGACTTTGACCCCAAGTCTTTTTTTGAGGGTTTACTGTTCCTGCATGAAACCCTATATTCCATGCTCTTGTGATCTGTCATTGATGTTTATGGACTAAAACACCAAGCATAAAAAAGGTTTTTTTTTGCCTCTCACCTTCCCATGCACTGTCCATCACGGGCATCTTGAGAGAAACCACAGCCATGCAATATCCCAGAAAAAAAAAAAGAAAAAAAAAAGCAAACATAGAAGAGAGAAAAAGTCATCTATTCCTGTGATTGTGTGCATGGAAAGGGAAGGAAAGTTCCACCTTTACTTTCCCTCTAACAGGCTTGAGTGCTGCATGACGAGAACACATCAAAGATTATTTTCTCAAAGTCCCGATTAAATTCAACTAGCGTAAGAGAGCGTTGTTTTACCTTATAGTCGTGGTTTGTAGCTAATTTACTAATCATGTATTTTATGTATATGTAGTATAAATGATGCGTGATTAAAACAATTTTTGGGTATAATAGAAAGTGAAGGGACAAATTAGTGGAGGTTTGTTGAGAGGGATTATGATATGAGAAAGTTAATTAATCTTCTTGTTACTCTCTCCGAGTCAAAAAAATATTCATTACAACGGTAATATCGCATGGTAATGTTGGCATGGTATCATCAATTAATAATTTTAAAATAAATAAACAAATAGACTCCACAAAAATTAATAACCAACCCGCAAATAACAACCCAACCCTTAAGGGTGATTCAATGGTTAGACGAGCAATGCTATTGGGATCTAATTTATTGACCTAATTTNTAACCAACCCGCAAATAACAACCCAACCCTTAAGGGTGATTCAATGGTTAGACGAGCAATGCTATTGGGATCTAATTTATTGACCTAATTTGTTGACCTAATTTACTATGACCTTTGAATTGACTGTGGGCTCCATCAAATATTATTCCTTGATATTAATTCAATTGTTCCAATGAAACTATGTCATTAGGTCAACAAATTATATCAAATTTTTAGGTCAAAATAGCATTTTCCATGGTTAGACATGTCTTTTGATAACTCAGAGATCTTACATGCAATCTCTTCTCACACTCTCTAAAGGTTAGCTACTCTTATCCCTTTGAAGACATGCTAGACTAGCTCAAGTCCTGATGGACAGCCGTTAAACTCGAGAAAGTAATCGGCGTAAATTTAAACACCCTATAGCCAAAAAACAAAACAAATAACTATTCATTCATCCTCCATGTGCATAAATAACTATCCAAATAGAATTCATCTTTCTCACTTCATATTTTATTATTGATAGATGATATATCAACAATATTATTGATATGGTATCACCACTGTATTGAATATTTTATGTACTAAGTCTAAGTTTAACGAAGGTTTCTAGGCCCTTGAGTATAAATTTGATAGGAAAAGATAGGCGTGGCTGGCTCAACAATGGTGAGCGGGTGTTTGCTTGTGAAGATTATTAAAAAAAAAGAAGGGTTGGTCGTCTGCAAGATTCACTTCCAGGCACCCCACAACCTGTAAAGTCAACCCCCAACAGCATCTGCCCAACAGTACCTTTGTTTTCCTCATTTTTATTGTTTTTAAATTATGCCTATGTGAATGCAGGACAAATGTGTGAAGCTATTGATGCGGATCTACCTTCCTATGATAATGAACATATATGCATGCATGGTTGTCTCTTTTTTACATCATCATCATCATGTATAATGATGACTAGATGATCATACTCTTAGAGCATCCGATTTGGATCAGATCTCGTTCGAGAAGACTTCAATTTAAAAACTCTCATTGAAATATGATCTAAATATCCGTCATATATATTTCATATTTGTAGTCTATATCAAAAGGAAAATAGTTTTTGTATTTAATTTAGTGATTTTTGTTGTGACATAATGGATCATAATTATTGAATTATTAAAATTACTAGTGCGTCACGATTAACAACGGGATCTATTATTAATCTAATAACAAATAATGATAGGATCATCAAATAAGATCTATGTAGCATTACCCATATCAAAATATGTTAAAATTCAAAATCTAACTCAATTAGTATTTGAGTTCTAATCCAATTCTATCGAATAATCACTTAATTTATTTACACACGCGCACACACACACACACACACACACACATATATATATATATATACACGATCATGAAAGTAGTCTCTTTATTTGCGGAAATAAAATTGTATACATCTGATCCACCTTATACTTTATAGTAGTGGAAATCACGTACACTGAATCATATTTTTAAATATATATTTATCATCGAATGATAATTTAAGTTTATTTGAATTCTAATTCATATTTATGATACATTAGATTCAAAATTGATTCATTTACCTCTCTACTCATAATTAAACTCCCATCAGTTCAAGTTTGAAGTCAAGACTAGAGTCACAACTGCTCCCACATATAAAATTCATTATGCTGTGGCCTACCCAGAATTATTCCATATTCCCACTTATATTATATAAGTATCAAATCCTTGCTTACCTATATGCTTCCTAGGTCAGAAATCAAGATCAATGAGTAGCTTTTGACCGTTGATACTGTGGGGGGTTGCTGAGATATCGATCCAATGGTTAATGTATACCACCCATCATTCTTATAAAATTATACATAATAATCTCACTGTATTACTTACCCAAAATACAAAATCTCTCACTTCAGTAATCATGTGATTTGTTGTTGATAAGTAGCCTTCACCTCACAAAGTATATATGCATGGACACTTAAGAGAATATTGTCGAATAAAATGATATAATAATTGTTCACCAAAGGGATTTTTAGTCTTCTTGTCAAGCGTTTCTTGTGCCCTACTTGAGTGACATCTCATCCACCATCCCTATTTTCTTACAAGCTACTGGTCCAATCCTATGGGTTTTTTTTTTTAGGGGGTGGGGATGAGGAGAATTTCTAAACTAGGTGAATAATCTCGTAAAGGTGACTTGTTAGTAATTGAGCTCGCGGTTGATTTACAATCCTAGGGTGATCTTTAAAACAGTAAATAAGAATATCAAATGGTGGCGATGACCGTGGTAGTGGCTTTGGTGGTGTAATTAGTGCTGGGATAACACACACACATACACGGAGGGAGGGAGAGAGAGAGAGAGAGAGAGAGAAAATAGGGATCGAAAAAAGGAAAAAAAAAAAAGGGGATGATGTAGAGAGATGACATAGCCTCCGACAGAGAAATGACCACCGTGAGATGAGGGAGGATGGGATAGAATTTTTTTGGAGGAGGAAATATGTAGGAAATAAAAATTCAATTTGTTATGTGTTTTATTGGATATATTATGTAAATGACTAATATGACGTAAAAACAACATAATATTTTTTTGTAGCAAAACTTGTTTTTCTCGTAAAGTGCTAGGAAATAATCTTTTTTTTTTACTATCCCCAAAAAAAAATAATGAAATCTTTTTTACAATGATTTTTAAATGTTACTTTGTTACTGTGTCATTGTGGGTCCCAATATTTATTAGGACCCGTTATCTATTTAATAATTATAATTATTAAATTTAATTTTTAAATTCACGTAACATTACTTTTTTTATGAATGCAAGACGAGGGAAGGACCTTCTTTGTCTTTTCTTATTTTTCTACGTTATTCCCTCAAACCTATAACATCTCCTTCATCTCCACCCACCCACGCCACGGCCCATCAATTTTGATGGTTTGAGATATTCTACATGAATACGTCTAATTTAGAATCGTGATTCATGCAAAACATTGCCTATGTCAAGACTGACTACGTTGTATCTTTGCAGAAAATAATGTATTAATTAAGGTCATTACGTTTTAAATAATTTTTCTTAATATATATAAATTTATTATACGTATATATACCCAACTACTACTACACAACTATCTTCTTTTAAGCAATACTGCGATTCCATGCTTTGATCGTTGTCAGCATTTTTTGTCCTATTCATGGCTTTTTAATATATATATATATATATATAATAATTTGATTCATCCACTCCTAGAAGCAGGACCAGAACTACACGAGGCGCTTAGGGCCTCCACTCGCCTAGGGTCGTATTCGTATATTTCTCATAAAAAAAATATGACTGAATTTTTAAAAAAATTTAGGATATCGTACGTAAAACTCAGTATCAAAAAAAAATTACTAATTTTTTTTTTAAATCATAAATATATGTATATTCAAAAAGAAAAAAAAGAGATCATGTCATATTCTTGTACAAAAAATTACAGCACTCTATTATTTCATTTTATCTAAATTCTTGATAACTCTGGTCTATTTATTCAGTTTTATTTTTTTAAACCATAATTGTTGCGTTAATTTTGATTTTAATATAATCATTTACACAATGTATTTATTATATAAGTTATTTTAAATCTTAAATATACCTACTAAAAGATATGAATTTAAATATTTAAAATTTTAAAACAAAAATAAATAAATTATGCATCTAAAAAAATTTTAGGGCCCATCTAAATTTTTTGCCTAGAATCTCTAAGTGTTTTTGAGCCGACTCTGCGTAGAAGACTTCCCCCCATTAATGTGTATTATAAATTTCATTCCGCAAGTTATGTCTCAAATAGTCATGACTCTCATCACTCTTTAAGGTTTTTTTCCTCGGCTATCGTTGTTGTTGGCGTATTGGACTTAATTTGAAAATTTAAATGTTGCTATTATTGACCTGCCAGTGATTCTATTCTAATGTCAGAACTCCCCGTCAATTAAAAGATAACAATGCATTACAATGTCATCCAGAGGGTGAACCCATCGCCATCCATGTTGCTAGGATGGATTCACCAAGTACAAACCTCATGCTTTATATAGGGGTGTTCACCCTACCTTACGGTAGGAAATATAATCTTTTATCTTGTTACCCGATAATAATTACAATAAAACATAGAAAGCGTGAACATCAATCCACCATAATTGTTATACAAATACAATAACAATTATCTTAAATTTAAATCATATGAAATACATTAAAATCATAACTGCTCTACTAGATCACTAGTTCACCACAAATCATGTAACCTATACAAAAAAAAAGTCTATATTTTCGCAACTCAAACATCCACAACAATAACAATGTTATAATATAAATTATACCACACAAATACTCTTATAATTACTAAAAAAATATAAAAAAGTTAAATATATTTTTTACTGATAAAGTAGAGTAGGAATGCAGAAATTGATGGGTATTCCGCATACCTACCCAATTTTTGCGACTAACCGTTCGGTAGGTAAGATAGAGTCGAGTAGAATAAAAAATTACGATCAATCAAAAATTTGAACACCCCTACCTTTATATATACAAAATGACTACTCTCAGATTTAAATCCAGAGGATCACAACTTCATGGGTATATTAACCCAATACTTTCATCGCAATTTCGATTATTATTCTCAATACACTCCTGGGAGTGATGATTCCTTTCCACGACACCCAAATTGTTCAGGTTAATTAAATAGAGTTTTTTAACTTTGATCAATCTTAACTTTTTATTTGAATGTCATAAGTACAAATCTACCCCTAATGTTGGTGTAAGTTGCTAAATGTAGAGGCAAAGCCCCTCATGGCACCACAATTTTCATCCCAACCAGAGCAAGAAACTCCAATCTTCGGTACCAACCTGCAATGGAATCCACCATGTTATTATTATTATTTACATTTGACCAGAGCCAGACGGAAGAAAAGTCCTGGGGAACAGCTCCCAGGCTTTGGCGGCACCAGGGGCCTATTCCAAAAGAGTAAAATCAATGAATAGGTAGTGGATCTTAATAAATGTTGGGACCCACAGTAAAATCAATGGTTAAGATTATCAAGTCTAATTTTTAAGTCTACTTTTTAAGTCCATGTAGCATTGCTCATTCCAAAATTTGTGTCCTTTTAGTCTAAAAGGAAATTCTCCCAAAAAAAATTTCCAGTATCAATACCACTACCATCAGTCATCATTTTTCATGATAAAATTACAATTTTAAAAGAAGAAATTACAATTATTAAAGAGATGGTCGCGATCCATCATAGATCTTTATGATGGATCATGAAAATTTTGGTATCAATTTCAATGTTCCATGATCGATCATGCCTATTGAAATTGAAACTTACGCTTCAAAAAAATTATAACTTGGCCTTAAAAAAATTATAATTTTTTGTACCGGTGCCGCCGATGGGTACCATAGCATTTNCTTCCATGATCGATCATGCCTATTGAAATTGTAACTTACACTTCAAAAAAATTATAACTTAGCCTTAAAAAAATTATAATTTTTTGTACCGGTGCCGCCGATGGGTACCATAGCATTTTCCATCCAAATGACAAGAATAATCCATTGCATTCAACAAATTTCAAGAATGTCCATGAGAGAAAATATAAGAAATCGAAAAGAAAAAAGGTCTCCCTCCATTGTCATCTTTTTCAAATTCACGAGGTGCAGTTGCAGAATTCCACAATACATTTAAATTTCAAAAGCAAAAAGAAGTGTATTACTCAAGAAAGATCATTGACATGATACCGAGGAATGGAGTACAAACAAATCCTCCGAAACTCTATGGAAGTTAATACGATTTCATTGTTTCTTCACCCAATCTGCATCAAAAGGCCATTGAGTCTGTATGGATACCTTTGTTAGTATCTTATTTACAGCATTCGTGCATCAAAAACCTGTCTAGGTTTTCAATTACCGAAGTCTTAACCGTCTAAATTGAGATGCTCAGACAAATTCCACCCAAAAAATTCAAAGGAAAATAAAAAAGATTTCAGATTTATAATGGTGAAGAAAAGCTAAACTGCACGCCAGTCTTCCCACGGTCATGCTCTTGTCGTTTCAGTATGTAGCAGTAGTTAACCTGATAATGAAACCAAGCCATCAGAGAAGTTCAAGGATTGTCTCATTTCGGGGAAAAACGAAGACAAAAGACAAACAGGAGGACACCCTTTTTAAGAAACTATATTCGAATGCAATAGCCAGGCATGGACGCCAATCCCTTCTTATTACACTCGGATTTCACTCAATTAAGAACTTGAGCATATTGACACTCCTTATTATTGGCAACATATTGACCCTTTCCAAGAACAGAGAGCTATGAATCATCTAACAATGTTTCGGTAGATTGCACCAGGCAATCTTACAATAATTTCTGCAATCAAGGACTGCTTGTAAGTTCGTATGACAAATGCAGTATATCTGACAGTCAGAATCAACCCACGGATATTCTAATTAAACATTTTAGTAATTCTCTTGCAAAAAATTACTACCTAGCATAGCATAAAGTGATTTGCATCAGTATCACAACCAGAAAAATCCTATGAAGACATGCTTTTGATAAAAATCTTACGAGAGAGAACTAACCTCCATGCGAAATAGTTTGGTGGGTACAACAATCCCAAATCCTNGGAAGACATGCTTTTGATAAAAAACCTTACGAGAGAGAACTAACCTCCATGCGAAATAGTTTGGTGGGTACAACAATCCCAAATCCTGCAGAAGTTCGGAACGAATCCCGGAATCTCTGGAAAGAGACACTCCTGAAGGCATTCTCGGTCAATTTCATAAGGCTCCCAGCACATGCAAAAGCATGCCCATGGATACCGGCTTGCCTGAACACCTTCAATGGGAGGTCAAAAGAAAGGTCTGCAAAGGCAGTAACGGCAAGGTCTCCTCCAAGAAAGTCCCTTCCCGAAGAACTTTCATCAGTGGAGTCTTCTCTAACTTGCCTTCGTGGCTCAGTCAGGCCTAGTCCCCTTGACTTAAAACCCAACACTGATGTCGGTCCTCCTAAGGTGCAAACTGGAGAAGAACTACCACCCAAGAAAAATTTCTCTGGTATGAATGAGGGGGTGTTCAAAAATCCACTTCCCCATGGAAGAACAATAGCACCATGGACCCCAATGTTCAGTGCAGCATGATAAAAACCCAAGGGGAGAGCATGCCGAAGATCAAACTCCTGTTGGAAAAAAAATTGAGATCATATGTCCTTTCTTCATTAGTACATGATCCCCCACCCCCCACCCCAACAAAAAAAAGGGATTTGTTGAACAGGAGTACATAGAGATGGGACATGAATGTCATAAAGTGAACTGAAGATCATCTCACCACAGCAAATGCATCATTGAATAAGATCTTGTGTTGTAGTTTTTTTTTGGGATGGGGGGAAGGAGTTGTTGTTCCTTACGTTCATTTCTTATCAAAGACTGGAAAACCCATGGATTTAAAAAAAAAAAAGAACAGGAATCTTCCACATAAAACAATATCATCAGTAAGGTCAAAATGTTCCACATAAAACCATATCATCAGCAAGTTCAAGGACCATAATAAATAAATAGCTAACTACCAATATATTTCGTACACAGAAAAGCTCCCCAGATTAAGTTCTCATGACAAATAACAATTCCATCACTGATATTGAGATGTATACAAGAATACCAAAGCACTAAGTTTATCTTTAGAATCAACACTTCTAGAGCTCAGATAACCATGGCAGATATTCAAAANCAAAGCTCCCCAGAGTAAGTTCTGATGACAAATAACAATTCCATCACTGATATTGAGATGTATACAAGAATACCAAAGCACNAAAAGCTCCCCAGATTAAGTTCTCATGACAAATAACAATTCCATCACTGATATTGAGATGTATACAAGAATACCAAAGCACTAAGTTTATCTTTAGAATCAACACTTCTAGAGCTCAGATAACCATGGCAGATATTCAAAAAAGCTGTGTTTAGAAAGAAAACGAAGTGTATAAGCAAGTTTTTTTAGGATAGATTTGGTCAGTTAATGGGAAGCTCCCAGAACAAGTCCTCATGACAAACAGCAGTTCCACCACTGACACTGAGATGTACCAATCTTAGATTTCCCAACAGCAGAATTCAAGCACTGAGTTATAGATCTTAAAAATCAATACTTCAGACCTTAGATAACCATGGCATGTATANGCAAGTCCTCATGACAAACAGCAGTTCCACCACTGACACTGAGATGTACCAATCTTAGATTTCCCAACAGCAGAATTCAAGCATTGAGTTATAGATCTTAAAAATCAATACTTCAGACCTTAGATAACCATGGCATGTATAATTGCTGGCATTCCAAATATTTAGATTACATAGTTTGTGTATACTTTCACATACACACACCCATGCTCAAACAAGCAAAGAAAGATTATGTTTTCTTCACACCTTAAATAAGTCTTGTTTGTGCATACATCTAGTCCTTTAAGCACCTTCAACTTGAATTCAATTGCTCGTCCTTACCACTGCTCTCGTAACTTTTTTTCTGTGCCTTGAAACTCTGAGGACCAGGACCATATTGTCACCCCATACTTTGACTTGTTTATAAAATAGTTTACTTTCCACCGAAAAAGAAATAAGCCAATAAGTGCAAGATTTCTTCTATACGCTCTTCAAAGCCTAGAAATGAACAAAGTGATTGGCTTCTGCATTCTTGCACCTTTCACAGCCCTCTCCAACAATACTAACGAGAACAAGTCAATCAACAAAACCCACCAAACAGAAAGTGAAGAGCTAAAATACATATACAGGAGACCTTTTATGACATGGCTGTAAACAGATTGGTGCACGAAAGGAGTATAATGGGAAAATCACTTGGAGGAGGCTTCAGTGCGGAGAATGGAGGTGCTTCTTCATTGCATCCAGCAGTGCAACAGTTTGCACTTTGTATAATGCCTTGTTCACCATACAGTCCAATTCTTAGCCAACTTACAACAGCCTTGCCTCACCCCCAAAACTAGGATTTCTTTGAATGATTGGCTTACTATTGAAGAATCACACACTAAGAATTCTGACCGACTTGTAAATGCAAATTACCGATTGACGTCTAACATCCCAATTTCTAGCTTCAATACAGTGCTGAAATTGTGATAACCTTTTTGATACGACTGCCTTTTTGAAGATATCTGTGAAAACACTAACAATATGTTTCAACATGATTTTGCTAACATGTTAAGATTGACTCATAACTCAAATATCTAGAATCACGTAGAAGTCTTCAAGGCGATTACAAAAATCTACCACATGAGTATGCTCCATAAACTAGTCTCAGACATCTCTCATATCTTGTGTTGAAATCCTAGTTTAGGCAATTAACCAAGTTGGCTATAGAGTCTCCTATAATGACAATGGCCAGCTCTATAAAAAGAGCTCATATTTGTGGGTCTGAATCTGCAAAACAAGCCTCTCACACCTGAGCCTCCTACATGCATTTTCTAATATCTTGCATTGCAATTGTCTCTCTTATTTGGTTCGCATCCAACAAATGGATATGGAATCAGAAATAATACATTACACTTAAATGAAAAATGGCCAAAATTAAGTACTGAAGCACAGGAACACATCTACTAGCTCCACACAACAAGGCTCAAAGTATTGGTCGATACCGATATAACTCGGCCGCCTCGTATTTGACTGAGCACGTTCAGTTCCAATACCATTTCAAGCCCCTTGTAAACCACGAGTCTCACTCGAAACAGTCCAGTTATTCAAGACGTCTCTGAGTCAACCCTGAATCACCTTAGTCATCATCACCAAATCATAGGTGTGCAACTTGGGCGGGCCAACCCGAATTCAACCTGAGCCCAACTCGAAAAATATAAGATTTGGGTTAAAATTTTTAATACTTAGGTTGGATCTTGGCAAAAAAATCCCAACCCGAATTGAATTTGGGCAAGCCTTGGGTTGAGGTCTCGGGTAGTCGGGTTGACCCCGATTATTAAATCGGGTTGAACCCAAATATACATAAAATNGGTTAAAATTTTTAATACTTAGGTTGGATCTTGGCAAAAAAATCCCAACCCGAATTGAATTTGGGCAAGCCTTGGGTAGTCGGGTTGACCCCGATTATTAAATCGGGTTGAACCCAAATATACATAAAATATATAAATATATTTAACTAGGATTAGTATTTTTCTTCATTCTTTAGAGTCCAGACTTTCACTTCACTTCAAGTCTTCACCCATGTGACTTCATCACTCTCAGATCCCTCTCTCACTCGTCACTCCTCCCTCTCTTAGCCTCCCCCTCTCAAGTCACTCGTCAGAGTCGTCTTAGACTCTCAGCTAAGGACGTCAGTGGACCGAAGCGGGGACGGGGTGTAGTCTCCATCCCNCTCTCACTCGTCACTCCTCCCTCTCTTAGCCTCCCTCTCTCAAGTCACTCGTCAGAGTCGTCTTAGACTCTCAGCTAAGGACGTCAGTGGACCGAAGCGGGGACGAGGTGTAGTCTCCATCCCTATACCCGCTTAAAAAAATTTCGTCCATCCCCGGTCCACCCTCGTTAACGGGTATAGTTTTCATCCCCACCCCCGTCTGCGGGTAAATTTTTAATCCCCGCCCCCGTCCCCACTTCTCCCGTACCTGCCCAAGCCCAAGCCCAAGCCCCAGCCCCAGCCCCAAAACATCAAAAANCGGATAAATTTTTAATCCCCGCCCCCCGTCCCCACTTCTCTCGTACCTGCCCAAGCCCAAGCCCCAAAACATCAAAAACCACAAAGCAAAGCAGTGTTTTGATCTCTGGATCAGTGTGATAGACTCATCAAACCCAATAACATCACCTCCTTGGAATAACCAAAACAAAACTCAACAAAAAGGTAATTATAAGAACAACAATCAGATACATAAGCAAGAAAATTTCAAGAGGCGACCTCAGAGATCTTGGTGGATAGGAATCATCAAATGGGATTTGAGAAAAACCCATCAAGAGTAGCAAATATTATTCGCTCATCACTGGCACACCAGATTCAAATCAGACACTTAAATCAATAGTAATACACAGACTCAAAACATAAATCTTAAATAAAGGGAAAAAAAATGAAAGAGGAGAGAGATTTAGTAGGTTATGATAATGGAGTATCGAACAGTAGGATAATGGAGTATTGAACAGTAGGCTTTGATTTTATTTGCTTTCACAGTTTATGATAATGGAGTATCGAACAGTAGGTGGGCACATATCAAATAGGGTATGAGACAATGAACTTTATTGCACCAAAAGAAGCGAAGAGTGAGGGAAAGAGAATTATTGATCGTAGAGACAGCTGCGACGCCGAATGATGTCGGGATCTTACTTAGGAAAGCCGTTGCAGTGGAGCACAGTCACTGGACTGAGTGGANGCAATGAACTTTATTGCACCAAAAGAAGCAAAGAGTGAGGGAAAGAGAATTATTAATCGTAGAGACAGCTGCGACGCCGAATGATGTCGGGATCTTACTTAGGAAAACCGTTGCAGTGGAGCACAGTCACTGGACTGAGTGGAGGTGGAGGCAAAGTGGCTTAGGCTGATATTGGAAGGAGTAAGTCAGGATTGAGTATAAATAAATAAATAAATATATATATATATATAAAAAAAACAGATAATTTGGGGCAAGACGAAGGCGGGGGCAGGGCCGAGGGCGGGGAAGGGGATGGGGATGAGGATGGGCACGGGGACGGGGACGGGGTTAAGGGTCAGTTCATCCCCGCCTTCATCCCCGTACGGGTGTATACGGGTATCCCCGTATACGTCCATCATCCAATATGTATGATCCATCCTCGATCTAAATAGGGTGGGTTTGGACGAATACCCTTTTTTCCCCCATCCACTGCCATCCCTACTTTCTGCCTCCCTCTCTCACTCGCCACTCTTCCCTCTTCCCTCTTCCCTCTTCCCTCTTCCCTCTTCCCTCTCTCACTCTCTCTCTCTTCATCTACACATCGCCCTTCATCTCAAATTATTTGAAAAAATTAATCTACACTTCAAAAAATCAACCCGAATTAAGTAACTCGAATTCAACCCGAGTCTACCCGAATTAAACTCGGAAAGCACTCGGGTTGAGTACCTCGGGTTGAGGTAGAGNTACACTTCAAAAAATCAATCCGAATTAAGTAACTCGAATTCAACCCGAGCCTACCCGAATTAAACTCGGAAAGCACTCGGGTTGAGTACCTCGGGTTGAGGTAGAGTTAGGGTTGAAAATTATATACCTAAGATTGGGCTAGGGTTGACCACTCAACCCGCCCAACCCACCCGAGTTGCACCCTTACCAAATCACTTTACTCGTTCCGCAACATCGTGATACGACTTAAATCTCTTATCCAGTTCAACTTCTCATTCTATCTAACATTGAAGGTATATCGTCGAATAACTTTCCGTGACACCTCAACCATTGCATCTCATTGCTCTCAAAGTCAATGGTCAATACCATGACTATGAAACACGCTATAGAGTCACAAATGGAAATTATACACCTGCCATGTTCTAGTACCACAATTGACCCGTGCTAACAAAGTTTACTGTGAGTACACTTCTGCACGAGGCTTCAAATCATTAAAAAAAAAAAGACAAATTCCTAAGGTGACATTACAACATACAAGGCGATGAAACCACAATTAAGCTCAAGCAAAACNTTTGCAAAATTGTAGTTGTTACTTAACCTGAAAAAAATCTTTCTATGAATTTAATTTATGAAATAGTAATGATATAGAGATAAAAGAGTGAGTACACTTCTGCACGAGGCTTCAAATCATTAAAAAAAAAAAGACAAATTCCTAAGGTGACATTACAACATACAAGGCGATGAAACCACAATTAAGCTCAAGCAAAACAAACAGCTTATAACAACGTAATCNTAAGGTGACATTACAACATACAAGGCGATGAAACCACAATTAAGCTCAAGCAAAACAAACAGCTTATAACAACGTAATCAGAAGCAACAAATAGGCATTAGAATTTAACTAACCTGGCGGAAAAAACGTAAGCTCCGATAATCAGGTACAAGACCACCAATTTGAGAAGTAGAAACAAAAGCATATCCTCGAGTGGGTCTTAGAGGTGAATTTCTCGTGTCCACCTTAAAGGTGTACTTCAAAGACGAGAGCAAACCATGTCCAAACTGTCTCCTTATTGATTTGGATGACATTTGTGATGGATCTGTTAAGGTACGCCACGAGAGATTATATGCCAAATCATGATTCTTGGATGATATCAGGCCAATAGACAGTCCCAGTGATTGCTCTTTGTAAGATGAAAGTTTCAGCCAGTCTTGGGAAAGCAGATATACTCGAGCCATTACAGGGGTAAACAATCCTTTAAATCTGGGTAAAGATACGCCAACACTAACCTCTGATATTTGGTCCCAGCCATAACCCAAAGAACCATCCCAGAGATCCCCATAGCCAAACAAGTTTCTCAGCTTGAGTGATCCTTCAAGTGACCAAGATCTAGCCTACGGAATCAATTTAAATATCAAGAACAATATAGAAGACAGAATGTTCGTATATTCGTACATATTACAACTGAAAATCAAAGAGCATATTCAAACTGCATAGCGGATTGAGTGACCTGGAAGCCAAACAAATGGGTAAATTAGCAGATCTATTTTTATTTGTTTGTTTTTATGGCTGGTGACAGTAACTGATTTATGTATTTAACTGTGCGCAATCATAAGGCTTTTGCCATTAAAGGAGTTTCATTTTCCAACTCAAATATTAATTCATATATAAATCTGGGATAGGAGGTGGTCATACAACTCCACAAAATCTAAATTGATCCCCCAAATTCCTTACTTGATCAACTCAAGTTGGCTGCACCAACTACTATCTAAGACAGCAGTTTCAAATAACCATCAATACTACTTTCTTCGTCAACATTAGAGGTGTCCGTTTCCAGAATTTATTCATAAAGCACGTTGTGGTGAAGGATGATCAACGTAAATGGATCTTAAGTTCTGAACCAGACTCTAAAATGTAGTATTATAAGGGTTACATATAATTCCACACCCCTAATTTGACCTCTCTATCAAACAACTTAAAACAAAGTTAACCNTCTTAAGTTCTGAACCAGACTCTAAAATGTAGTATTATAAGGGTTACATATAATTCCACACCCCTAATTTGACCTCTCTATCAAACAACTTAAAACAAAGTTAACCAAATTCCTACTTCAAATTACATAACAAACTCTCAAACACCCCTCCATGGTTCAATCACAAAATAGAAGACATACAAGTCATCAATTAATTCATCTGAAGCCAATCAATATCTATTTGCAACAGATGAATCGAGAAAAAAAAAACCACATTACAATTATCAAAAAATTAGTAAAAATATAAGCAAATAGAGATTGAGAAATTACCTCGGGCTTCGTGAACATACCAATGTCGCCTGTGAGAAGCTTTTTACTCTCCACAACTTCCACAATNATAGAGATTGAGAAATTACCTCGGGCTTCGTGAACATACCAATGTCGCCTGTGAGAAGCTTTTTACTCTCCACAACTTCCACAATCACATTCGCAGTCCCAGGGAACTCCTGCGGCCCCGAATCGAGCGTAATATTAACCGAATCAAAAATCTCAAGACGTTGAAGCCTCTCATTCGCAATACTCGCAGCCTGAATCAACTCTTGCACTGTACCAACACTCTTAAGCACTTCAACCTCGGCTTCGATCAATGAGCCCTTGGTCTTCGTGTTGCCTTTGATTAAAACGTCGTGGACTCTGAGAGGGACTCGCTCTGTCGAAATTCGGCGGAATAAGTTCTCCATTTTCGCTCGGTCAGATCGAATTTGGGACTGTTTTGTCTCTGGTGTTTCCTCTTCCTCTTCAAAGTCTTCTTCATCGTCTTCGCCATTAGAAGGTTCGTCGTCTTCGTCTTCGTCTTCTTCTTCGTCTTCGATGATTGGAAGGTCTGCGAGAGACTTCTCTGTTTGCTCTGTCGTCTGTTCATCGTCGGAGAGAGCCATGGAGAGGTTCTCGCCGGAGGCCGGAAGCAAACTCTAAAAGAAATGATTCTGTACTACGGACTGGGTATCATAGACAATTAAAACTGTCTACTGTCAGCCTAGGTGGAAAGGTCCAGGCCCACAGTTAATGGCCCAATGTGATCCTTGGGCCAGAAGCTGGACCAAGCCAGAATTGTGTCCTTTGAGCCAGATAATGAGTCTGTTAACAGATTGTCCATTGGGCCGGCTTAATGGACAAACTTGTTTTNATTGTGTCCTTTGAGCCAGATAATGAGTCTGTTAACAGATTGTCCATTGGGCCGGTCTTAATGGACAAACTTGTTTTCAACTTCTCTTCTTTTTTTTTTATTGAGCTTGTCAGATTTTTTTCTTAAGTTATATTTGAATCAGTTAAATATCAAAAATATTTTTCAAATTTAANCTTTTTTTTTTATTGAGCTTGTCAGATTTTTTTCTTAAGTTATATTTGAATCAGTTAAATATCAAAAATATTTTTCAAATTTAATAATTTACCAACTCCAAACTTTAGTAAGCTATATGTGAATTTTAACTAAATTTGATCAAATAAGCACTTTTTTATTCCTGCATCTACTTATATCAAACATAAAATATTTGGATCAAAAAAAAAAAAACATAAAATAGATTATATCACTATTTTAATCATATCTTTAGGAATATAAATTCAATTCATAAGATATGAAATAGTGACAATGGATTCAAATTATTAATAAAAAAAATAGAAAAAAAATTATCCACACCTCTGTAAATTGTTCTATCTTCAAAAACACCTTTCTATATTTTTTTGAAATTTCACTAGTGTTTGTCAATTAATATAAGTAATTGGAAGTATCTTTTTACCAAATTACCCATAAAATTTATAGAAAGAGAGACACACACACACACACACACACAAAAACTTGAGACACATACCCATTTTGTCCACTCATCTATGCCACCTCTACCCTTTCCATCACCCTCAATCACGTTGTTAAGGGCTATTCTTGATCAAACTGTTTTGTCTGAATAATTAACTCATTTTGTCAAGTAAAGTTTTACGAAAATCTTTCCCTTTTCCCTTCAAATATTTCTGAAAAACAACTTGTAAATTTTATTATGATCGTTCGCTATTAGCAACTCATAGCACCACATGGAAGAATCCTCGTCCAAATCGAAAGAAAAATAGGCAAAAGTCTTAACAATTATAACTTTTTTCATATGTAATTCACATAGCCGTTTCAAAAAACAATAAGAAAACCTGAAAACTACATGTGCTTCTATTTGTGAGTTTGAGTATGAGTATGAGTACAATTAATTCGTAAAATATGCTTTCATTGCAATTTTCTTTTGTTATTGAAAATTGAGATATAGATAAAGAAAAAATACAGTGTATTGTATGGGCAGATTGATGTAACTGGGGTTCTTTTATGAGTTTAAAAGTTGATGTGGTCATGTGGAATGCAATGATTTGTAGATACAGCAGAAATAAGCATTTTGAAGAATCAAGAAAACTTTTTGAAGCAATGGATGTGAAACAAGCAATTTGGGGGGTTACTCTCTTGTCTGTGTCACCATTGTGCTATATCCTCATGTGTTGATGTTGTGTGTGACAAAATAAGAAGAAGAATGAATAAGTTGTTTTGCCGTGTGTTTGAATGAAATGCCTATGTGATGGAATAAGAAGAGAAGAATGGAAACATCTATTTTAGAACAAGGGTATTATAGGTTTTTTTGGGGGAAAAATTACAAGACATCAACATTTTTTGCTTTGTGAATATTAGAAACTAATGGTACCGGGTGCAAAGTGGAATGCATATAATGTTGCAACGGGTCCATCATTCAATAGTAATTGATTGATAGTGATTGATTTAGTCAATATTTTTTTCCTATTGAGTAAATATTAGGTATAATGAATACATTATATTTTCAAAAATGAGAAAATCCCATGGCCTATTTTTAACGAGTAAAAGCGTGCTTATGTCTCTTAGGCTCGGAACTTTTAGTAGAATCAAAGGGCAAAGCTCAAATGTATAAACTAGTCCACACCAATTAAATCAGGACTTGCGTTNTCTTAGGCTCGGAACTTTTAGTAGAATCAAAGGGCAAAGCTCAAATGTATAAACTAGTCCACACCAATTAAATCAGGACTTGCGTTTCGCAAGAACTCAAGATCCACACTAGAGACTTGAATACGGTTCGTACAAACAACTAAAATCTTGTCCTACTAAAAGCCACGCTTTTGTGCCCAATAGACTTCGAACACCTGACCTCTCACTGGGAGGTCAGAGGCTCTAGCCAACTAAACTACCCTAGTTGGTTAACGATTACACTACGGTAATAGTGTTGATGTGTATAATGTATCTGATAAAGTAGTTATATTTTTTTATATTTAGTTTTTCGTGGCTCAGATCGTTTTGATCCGATGATCCTAATTAGACTTTAATTCTTTTTACAATTCTAAAACTATCATATGTCATAAAACTTTTTTTATCTATCTTATATTCTCTCTCGTACTATTATCTTTTTTTTTTTGTTTCTCCGATGTTTATTTTGTTATTATTTACTCCATAAAACAAATAAAACAACATCTTATATAATTATTTATTTCATGAAACTAATTTAAAATTTTTATATATCTAACGACATGTATTTTGCCACTTGTTTTTTTAATTTGTAAATAACACATAATATAAATAAAAAATAGCGCATTGACTATAAACATCAAATAATATTCAATACGAAGTAAACCTTAGATTATAAATTAATATATAATTTTATTATAAAATTGACATTTAATTTTTTCTAATTTATATTAAACTTTGTCGAATTAATATCAAATTAAATTTTATTGTTATCAATTTAATATTATAATTCATTTAATCAATTTTTTGGGTACTAAATCAAATATTATTTGATTTTATAAATTTTAAATTTTTTGCACTAAATTTGGAGAAGGAAAATTTTAAAAATAATAAAAAAATTTTGGGATAAAATTATCAATTTTCGTTAGTAATATTGAAGGAAATGAGACAGAGGGGGTCTCCGTGTAATAAATTCAAACTTCGGAGGTCTTCGTGTTATTTATAAAATGTCTGAAGGTGTCTGNAATTTTCGTTAGTAATATTGAAGGAAATGAGACAGAGGGGGTCTCCGTGTAATAAATTCAAACTTCGGAGGTCTTCGTGTTATTTATAAAATGTCTGAAGGTGTCTGTGTAATATTGTCAAAACTCAAGAGATGTCCGTGATTTTTGCCATTATTTTAATTAAACATTAATTTATTATTATTTTATTTTAAAAGCTTAAGCAATTATTGGTTAGAAGAGTTTATTAATAACTAAAAAAGATATGTGTGTGTATTTCTATGTATATTTATATATGGAGGATTTGACATTTAGTGATTAAATTTATAATTGTATCATTTGGAGTTGAATGACGATAGTAATGATAAATTATGAGTTTTACATATAAGTAAGATTTAGTTGATTTTATTTATCGCTTAAAGATTATGAATTTAATTATGTTCTGTTAGTATTTTTTTTTTACTTGAGGTATTTATTACATTGAGATACGGTGGATAAAAAATATGGTAGTTGAGTTTATAATTATATTGTGTTATTGGATTAAACAGTAGTAGATGTGACAAATTCACGAGTCTTATAAACGAGTAAGATTTTTATTTATTGCTTAAATATTGTAAATTTTCAATGGCTTATGTTAATATTTTTTTTTTAAGAGGCAATTATATATATGGTGTTGTGTTCAGAAGTTTTTATATATTTTTATGACAGTTCCATTAATATAGAAGATACGGTCTACGATATATTTTGAGTCATTTTAAAATAAGAATTGGTATGAATAGTTTATGCCATTCTTTTTAAATTTAGATAATTGTTTAGAATTTTTTATTTGTTATATAGTACTTTAAAGCATAAACAATGATTAGTCATCCAATAAAGAAACTACAAAATGAATAATGTAGGGTCCACTTTTTATCATAGAAATGGATATGCATTACATGAATGAGTGGTTATGATTTTTTTGTGGGATTCATTTGCTGACTTTTTTATTTATTAGTAATGCACAATGTGCATTGCATGTAAATAAATTTTAATATTTTTTTTTATAGAAAACGTGAATTATATGTGTAATTAAATTAAATAATAAATTAAGCACTGAATAATTAGTCTGTATTTTAATTATTAAGGTATTTCTTCAATCCCTTTAAGTATTTGCATATCTAATTATATTATAAAATAATTAATTTTTACTTTGTTAAATAGATTGATTAGATCACTTATAATATTATTATATTATTACATACCAAAAAAATAAAATATAACATATATTTGATCATGAAATTCAATCTAATAACTTCTTGTGTATAATAATTTAGCATATATAGGATTTTAATTTTTTATATAAATCTAAAAAATTGAATATAATTATACTACTAATAAATAAGTTCAAAAAAATTTAGAAGTCCTTACAATAGAGTTAAAAATAAATTAAAGGTCAAATAAGAGTAAAAAAAAAATTAGATGAAAGTATATAAGTGAGTATGATTGACTTTATCATAATAATTAGGGGTAAAATAAAAAATCAAAATTTTTTCGCAGAGGCTGAACTTCGTGTGTATAATAATTTAACATATATAAGACTTCACTTTTTTATATAAATCTAAAAAATTATATGTAATTGTACTATTATTAAATGAGTTTAAAAAAAATGTAGAAATCTTTACAAAAGAGTCCAAAATAAATTAAAAATCAAATTAGAGGTAAAATAAGAAATTAAATTTTTTTCATAAATACTAATATTTATAAGTAGTATAGATTAATGAACGGTTACGCCTCATGACACGTCCAACATTTTTTCCTACTTAGTGAGAATCTGGTGCGGTACGGAGCATGGTCCATGGACTGGGTCCGAAACCAAACTGAGCATCCACACATTCAAATGGTTTTCAAAGTTCCAAATGCCCGCTCGCTCGTACTCATACAAAAATAGTTCGATCTCTTTCTCAGTCAAATCAATCAATGGCGAGTAATAATCTTCTCCACAACGATCTCTTCTCTTCATTGATTTCCGACATCAAAACCTACACTGGCAACGACCCTCTCCTCCCTTGGCTCCAGTAAACATCGGACCATCATCCATCTACGGGTGTTCTTGCTGTAATTTTCTCTCCATTTTTCACTGAAAATGTGTGTTTGTTTATTTGTTTGTTGAATGTTGTTGCAGAGGGATTAGGAAGATGAGGGAGTCACTTCCTCCTCGGCTTCTCAGAGAGAAACTCCCTCGGTTTCTACAGAAATGTACTCAAACCTTCGAGAACGATCGTCGTTACGCGAACGAATTGCGTTACCTTCGTGTTTGGTTACAATTGGTGAGTTGTGGTACTACAGCTCACTTGATTTTGATTTTTCTTTACGATATTCAATCTGGACAGTTCAATTTCCGAGATATTACATACTGTTTGGTTGCTGAGAAAATTCAGGAAAAAAGCAGAAACCAAATGCTATCATTTCATTGTAAAGTAGTTATTCTGCTTTGAGACCACTGATTGGTTCGATTTGTTCTCCGAAAACCCCAAAATCCGAACCAAACCCTACCCATCATTTTTATTATTTTTGAGCCACTAAATAAGCTTAGTAAACTTACAGCTTATTCAATCAACTTAATCAACGCTTATAGCTTATTCAATCAACTTAATGTTTTCCTTTATATTACCTTAATTCTCTTTGCAATTAAAGGAAGCTTAGTGGAATAATACTGGGCATTTTGATAATTTTTTTTTACTGTTCGTGCAGATGGATTTCGTTGATGATCCAAAAGCAGTTCTAAGAACCATGGAGGCTAATCGAATTGGGATGAAGAAGTCACTGTTTTATCAGGCCTATGCTCTTTATTATGAGAAGATGAAGAATTTCAAGGAGGCTGAGAAGATGTATCACTTGGGAGTGAAGAAGTAAGCAATCTAAATCTTCACAAAATGCATCAGGTCCTTTTGGCTTCGGATTTTTGGGAAAATGGAATCGCTATATCTTAAATTTGATTGCAATTGACGAAGAAGATTAACAATTTAGAAATGATTTTGTCCAATGATAGTGGTACTTATTGAACCCATGTTGCCACCAGAGGTTTAATAACAATAACCCGACACCATTGTAGTTAACATTATCCATTACAAAACATGTACAGGGGTTGCTGGTGTTTCACCAATTTTTTTATGTGTGTGCTCCTTCTTAGAGTTATTCTCAGTGAGTAACATCTTTTGAATTTATAAATACAGATATAGGATATATAACTTTTTTTACTCTTGTATCGGAGTGATTTAATTTCTATGTCATGAAGCAATGCACCTCAACATATTTTGTAGTTTCCATCTTCAATAGTGTTGCCTTACTCTTTCAGCCTGACCACAGGGTAGAGTTTTTTGAGCTCGTTGCCAAAAGGTTTGATTAAGTTTGGCATTGTATAAGAGGTTCTAAGTCTGGTGCAGCCTTGAGGGAAACTTTGTTGTAATTGTAATCTTGTTCACCTTATTAGCTCCATTCGCATCTGGCCATTGGCTAGTAGCTTCTCTGAGGTGTCAAAATATTTAGCTAAAGCACTTCTGCTAATTTTCCATTTTTTTTCTGGTGGGGGGCGGGGGTGTTTTTATTTTTCTGTAGTGGGTATTCATGAGCGGTTGTGTTTTCCCCCTCTTGCTCCTTGAAAATTGGGTTATCTTCACTCTTCAGTACTTCTCTTGTTCAAGATTATTTTCTCCACCAATTGCCAGAAAATAATTATGAAACTAGTCCTATCATGGGTTGATAATGTAAGCATATCTATATTTGCCTAGTAATTATGCCACCAGAGGCTCCGAAAATCAATGTGAGGGTTTTGCTCTGGACTTGGTGACTAAAATTGCTAATTGTATTCTCTAATATGTAAGTTACTGAGAGCATGTAAAGCACATAATCAGATAATACCTAACTGTGGGTGCTTTAGTTATATATATATATTTATTATAACCTGTTTAACAGTCTTGCAGAACCTGTTGACGAGTTGCAAAAATCCTATGAGCAATTCCTTCATCGTATGGAGCGGCACAAAAAGAAGAAGATTCTGGTGTTTTTTTGGTGCATGTTGTGTATTGATCTTTTTCCCACTTTCATTATCTAACCTTGGCCAGATGTCCTGCAGCAACCAGGGAGAAAAACTAACAGGCCTCCAGCTGCAGGGAGTATCCCTCTCAACTGTGCTCAGGCTAGCGGAAATGATGAGAATACATGCAGAGTTAAAGGTGGGCCTACAGGGACCTGGCTCAAGGACTCTTTACCTGAAACACAGCATAATTGTGCAAATTTTGAGAGCAAGAAGATATTGACGCGTAGCTCTGAGAATGAGCCGCCAATGAAGGAATGTGACCTGACTGGGGTTGCGTTAAATGATCCATCTCTTAAGAAGGGAGTCACAGGAGACTTTGGATGCAAAAGTTCTTTCAAGCAGCAAGAGAGTATTGAAGCAGAATCAGATGAACCTAGACACTTTCAAAGTGGTGATACAGTTGTGGTTAAGTTTGTTGATACTGCCATTGTTGAAAAGTCTAATGCAGAAGATGCACGTCATCATGGTCTGGTGGAACCTACAATCAACACGAAAGAGGCCATGAATGCCATAAATGACATGTTTCGTGAGCCTTTAGAGCCAGCATTTGTTGGCAGAAGATCACGTAAAAGCCAGCCCAAACCCGATCAGAGCTTGAACAATGGATTTCAGGTGTTCATTGATGATAACTTAGGCAATGGAGTGAGATCATCAAACCAAATATGGGATGACGATTTTTTACAGCCGCAATTCATCAGATCTAAAACTCACGAGCCTCTTGAAGTACCACTTCAAATATATGTTGAGGACGAGGAAAGCCCTCAGACTAAGGAAAGAATCCATGAGAAAGAGCAAAATGAGGTTCAAATCCTGACAGAAGGTGCTACCATTTCCAGTGGGCATGTGAATGCTTTCGTGTTTCCAAGTCCAAATGATTGCCCTTCAGAATGTTCCAAAGAACTAGATGTGGAGAGGTTGCCTCAAGCAAGACATAGAGAGGATACAGTTGTTTATCGGTTTGTAGGCTCCACTATTTCGGATGAGCCACAGGTGGAAAATGTTTGCCACCATGGCCTTGTAGACCCCACAATCAACTTGAAGGAGGCTATGGAGGATATAAATAACATGTTTGGGAAGCCAATAGAATTTGCAAGGAAAACTCGACCAAAGAAGCAGGTCAAAGCATTGGATAGGAAGAAAGATTGTGGTGAGTTTTTGATACTTCCGGATGATGATTTGAAGCACCAGCTCGAGAAATTCCAGCCATGCTCATCTGCCAAGAAGGAAAGTGATTTGTTTGAGCAGACTGTGTGTACAAAGGAGGCAATGGATGAAATAAACAAGATGTTTGGAATGCCATTGGACTTCTGAAAGCATTGTAAGTGCTGTTTGCTTTTGATTATTTTGTACTTGGTCTTCATTTGGTTCTCTTATTGATCGGGAATACATGTTTGAATAGTGAAATTGTGTTATCATGTTCCAGTTGATGGTAGATGTACAACTATAAACGAAGCATCACTGATTGGGGATTTAAGCAAATTCTCTGCGGAATAAAACTAGAAATTAGAAGTATGATTAATTTCAAAACAGTTACACATAGGAAGAACTCGTGACGAATACAATGCCATACCTAAAAAATGCAAATAATTTAATTTATTCCAGAAATAGAACAGAATCTCAACTTAGACATTTTAGAACCATTAAATCAACACTGAATGAGGTAGAAACAGTCCAGAAACTTGAAAACACAAGATCTCAACAAATCTGAAGTTAAGGATCACTGATGGTCAACTTATGGTGGAGTACTTGGAGTGCAATTAGCGGGACGGAAAGCTAAGGGACCTGCAGCATAAATCACAGCCTCATAACTCTTGCCATTGAGTCTCTTGTCTTCATAACGGAGTGGGGAGCCATTGAGTCCATAATTGACATTGGAGAGGAGGTTGCAATTTGCAAGAGGAGATGAAACCAGCTTCACATGGCACGCCTGGAGCGGGTGATCCAATAAGGAATGGCTCATCTTGAAGCCTTGAAGCTGGGCATAGAAGTACCCATGTGCATTGGTTTCAAATGCCTTATAGTAGCTGACTTGGTTTTTGTGGTCTTTGCAGACAACACTAATCTTAGCAGCAGGAATGGGCTCAGCTCCAGCCAGAGACCACTTTCCAAGGTGATCGCAGATCTGGCAGTAGACCATGCCCTCCACAACTACATCTACATGCTTTTCCACAGTTGTGGTTGGGGTCTCTGCGGAAGTGGCGAATGAGGGGAAGGCCAGTGGAAGGAGGAGAAAAGAAATGAGAATGGTGAGTTGGGTCATTGCCATCTTGTTGAATGGTGGGTTAGTTAGAGGTTTAGAGACTTGAGAGAGAGTTTGTTTCTGTGGGATGTGAGAAACATTGGAGGGATGGAGTGGTATTTATAGTTTTGTGTTGTGATGATAGTTGGTGTGTTGTGAAATTTAGAGACTGTCGTGGGGGCTACTAAGCTGCATTGCGGTCTTCACGTTTGTTAACGTGAAGGGCACTTTTAATTGCTTAACGCCTATTTTATTCTTGTTTGGGCTGGTTGTTGGGGTGGATGGATCGTCGGGCCTGTCTGGCCCAGTTCTAGATGATATTGGGCTTCTGATTGATTGGGTTATTTCAAGGGTAGGCTGGGTGGTAAGTCTGGATTTTCTTCGGCTGGCACCGGTTTGCTACCCTAAGTACTACAAATTTAGAGCTGATAAAAAAATAATAATAATTAAGTGAAGTTACTTGGACACGTTTAAATTAGGCTCGTATAGGACTCGAGTCAAAATGAGTCAAATTTAAATAATTTTTTAGGTTTGTTTAAAAAAGTTCGACTTGAACTTGCAAAATTCGGTTTGTTTAAATATAAAATAATTGAGTTACTTGAGTGTAGTTCGAATTCGATTCGTCTTTAATTTGGTTCGAGTTTGGTTCATTTAGAAAATTGAACTTGACGTACTTGGCTTGATTATTAGCCATAATTACAATTTTTAACTAAATTTTAATACTATCTAAGTTTCAATACGATGGTTTAGCTCTCCCTGCAATCCTCAATTAATTAAGGGATATTTGATATTTCAATTCATTTTGAATGTTGAGCATCTATTTATATCAACAAATCTAATCTCACTTATAAAGCACTTTACATTCTCAATTTAAAGTGCTCCAAACCCCTTAGATATGAAGCCAATTACATGGACTTCCCAAACTTGACCGGATTATCATCATCGCCAATGCAATCGGCTGTTGGGAAGGCTGCCGAAGCTTCACCGTCGTCCGGGCAAACCCACGTTGTCAGGAACACGAAGAAGCAAACCAGAGCTTCTAGGCGAGCACCAACCACAATTCTCACCACAGAATTTAACACGAATTGAATCTGTAAAATAATCCGAAATCAGCCTGAAGTTAGAAATTCGAATTCAACTTGAGTCTGTCCGAATTAAATTCGGACAGTGTTCGAGTTGAGTCTATTTGGTTAAATTCGGGTTAGGGTTAAGGTTGAATATTATATATTTAGAATTGAGTTAAGGTTGATTGTCCAACCCGTTCTCGACTTACACCCCTAATTTACATCAACAAATCTAATCTCACTTATAAAGCACTTTAAATTTGAAAATTCAAAATGAATTGAATGTTAGACTTGGACAAATCCTCAAAGAGCAATTATTTTAGAATTAGAGGGTAGTCTAACCCCTTTTTTTGTTGTGTTTTAGAGACTTCGCGGCTTTTGTTGTCAAAGTTGGAGGCTAGGAAAATATAACCGACTTGTCCATTTTCATAGGAGTAATTTATTGAGTTAATTTATTTACTTAATGATTTAACAAGCGTTAAAAGAAGAAGTTCAATCATTGCAACTGTAATAACGTTCTTGGACCATATAATTGTCACATAACTAAGTCAATAAATTAAATAAAAAATTTTAAATTCCATTAGTATTACTCTTTCCATAAGGAGGGGAGTGTCGGGTCGGGAGCAATAAACTCCCCAAAAAAAAACAGCTTAAAAAAAGGGTCACTGGCCTATTAAGTCCTAGAGGAAATTTCTTGGAATGATCAATTGAACATAGATAGATTATTCACGCAATATTGTTTCTAGTAGTTGAAAGTCCCTCTGTGCTGGTGTTAGACCCTCATGTCATGATAAGGAACTTCATTACAAGTCAATACATTTGCTTTCATGTGGTTGATTGTAATGTTGGTGTACAGTTTTATCTCCTTTTAAGTGGATTATGAGTAGACTAGATTCGTCATTGCACATAACAAAACAATTATAAACAGTGCTTTCATTAAGGTAAACTAGATTGGAGACATTTTAGAACCATTAAATCAACAATGAAAGTGGTAGAAAAGTCCAAAAACTTGAAAACACAAGATCTCAACAAATCTGAAGTTAAGGATCACTGATGGTCAACTTATGGTGGAGTACTTGGAGTGCAATTAGCGGGACGGAAAGCTAAGGGACCTGCAGCATAAATCACAGCCTCAAAACTCTTGCCATAGAGTCTCTTGTCTTCATAACGGAGCGGGGAGCCATTGAGTCCATAATTGACATTGGAGAGAAGGTTGCAATTTGCAAGTGGAGATGAAACCAGCTTCACATGGCACGACTGGAGCGGGTGATCCAATAAGGAATGGCTCATCTTGAAGCCTTGAAGCTGGGCATAGAAGTACCCATGTGTATTTGTTTCAAATGCCTTATAGTAGCTGACTTGGTTTTTGTGGTCTTTGCAGACAACACTAATCTTAGCAGCAGGAATTGGCTCAGCTCCAGCCAGAGACCACGTTTCGAGGTGATCGCAGCTCTGGCAGTAGACCATGCCCTCCACAACTACATCTACATGCTTTTCCAAANACTTGGTTTTTGTGGTCTTTGCAGACAACACTAATCTTAGCAGCAGGAATTGGCTCAGCTCCAGCCAGAGACCACGTTTTGAGGTGATCGCAGCTCTGGCAGTAGACCATGCCCTCCACAACTACATCTACATGCTTTTCCAAAGTTGTAGTTGGGGTCTCTGCGGAAGCAGAGATGGAGGGGAAGGCCAGTGGGAGGAGGAGAAAGGAAATGAGAATGGTGAGTTGGGTCATTGCCATCTTGTTGAAGGGGGGTGGTTAGAGGTTTAGAGACTTGNGGGGAAGGCCAGTGGAAGGAGGAGAAAAGAAATGAGAATGGTGAGTTGGGTCATTGCCATCTTGTTGAATGGTGGGTTAGTTAGAGGTTTAGAGACTTGAGAGAGAGTTTGTTTCTGTGGGATGTGAGAAACATTGGAGGGATGGAGTGGTATTTATAGTTTTGTGTTGTGATGATAGTTGGTGTGTTGTGAAATTTAGAGACTGTCGTGGGGGCTACTAAGCTGCATTGCGGTCTTCACGTTTGTTAACGTGAAGGGCACTTTTAATTGCTTAACGCCTATTTTATTCTTGTTTGGGCTGGTTGTTGGGGTGGATGGATCGTCGGGCCTGTCTGGCCCAGTTCTAGATGATATTGGGCTTCTGATTGATTGGGTTATTTCAAGGGTAGGCTGGGTGGTAAGTCTGGATTTTCTTCGGCTGGCACCGGTTTGCTACCCTAAGTACTACAAATTTAGAGCTGATAAAAAAATAATAATAATTAAGTGAAGTTACTTGGACACGTTTAAATTAGGCTCGTATAGGACTCGAGTCAAAATGAGTCAAATTTAAATAATTTTTTAGGTTTGTTTAAAAAAGTTCGACTTGAACTTGCAAAATTCGGTTTGTTTAAATATAAAATAATTGAGTTACTTGAGTGTAGTTCGAATTCGATTCGTCTTTAATTTGGTTCGAGTTTGGTTCATTTAGAAAATTGAACTTGACGTACTTGGCTTGATTATTAGCCATAATTACAATTTTTAACTAAATTTTAATACTATCTAAGTTTCAATACGATGGTTTAGCTCTCCCTGCAATCCTCAATTAATTAAGGGATATTTGATATTTCAATTCATTTTGAATGTTGAGCATCTATTTATATCAACAAATCTAATCTCACTTATAAAGCACTTTACATTCTCAATTTAAAGTGCTCCAAACCCCTTAGATATGAAGCCAATTACATGGACTTCCCAAACTTGACCGGATTATCATCATCGCCAATGCAATCGGCTGTTGGGAAGGCTGCCGAAGCTTCACCGTCGTCCGGGCAAACCCACGTTGTCAGGAACACGAAGAAGCAAACCAGAGCTTCTAGGCGAGCACCAACCACAATTCTCACCACAGAATTTAACACGAATTGAATCTGTAAAATAATCCGAAATCAGCCTGAAGTTAGAAATTCGAATTCAACTTGAGTCTGTCCGAATTAAATTCGGACAGTGTTCGAGTTGNAGGTGTGTTGTGAAATTTAGAGACTGTCGTGGGGGCTACTAAGCTGCATTGTAGTCTTTCACGATTGTTAACGTGAAGGGCACTATTAATTGCTTAACGCTTTTTATATTGTTGTATTCCCAATTCTGTGAGAGTCCAATTTGTTTGGGCTGTTTGTCGGGGCGGGTGGATCGTCGGGACTGAGTTGTCTGGCCCAGTTCTCTATGATATTGGGCTTCTGATTGATTGGTTTTCGAGGACAGGCTTGCTGTTAAGTCTGAATTTTTTTTTGAGATTTTTGGAAGTCGGTACACCTAATTAAACTTATTTGACAAAAAATNGTCCATTTTCATAGGAGTAATTTATTGAGTTAATTTATTTACTTAATGATTTAACAAGCGTTAAAAGAAGAAGTTCAATCATTGCAACTGTAATAACGTTCTTGGACCATATAATTGTCACATAATTAAGTCAATAAATTAAATAAAAAATTTTAAATTCCATTAGTATTACTCTTTCCATAAGGAGGGGAGTGTCGGGTCGGGAGCAATAAACTCCCCAAAAAANATTCATGTGTATTTGTTAATATATATATATATATATATATATAGTGTTGCCTGTATAACAAGCATTTATATGAATTTCTTCAGAATTATTTAAATGAATTTTTATTGGTTCAGTGGTTGAAGGATAAAAACTATTTATAGTTTTTCCAGCAAGGGTTTCACATTTATGTTGAAAAATTTTTAAAATATTTAAATGTTTCATAGTAGGAGGGACATAATAAGTCAAAAACCAATTAACAAAAGGAATTATCTGCTCTTCCCTTTTTACTAAGACTAAAAGTCTAGCCTTTATGACTTTTATGTCTTATTTGACCTCAATAATTTCTTTTCTTAAATCTAGAACCGTAGTAGGCAAGGTTTCCTTCATTTGGGATAAATTTTTAAGCATGTCACTTTTGGTTCTATTAATGACTTCTTTTAAAAAATAAGATGGAGACAAATTAGGTCTTTTGTCTTTCTCTTCTGGATTTATTTCTAAAAATTGTTCAATAGCTTTTATTTTAAAAATTGGGTCCTGAATTTTATTTATAAGATCAAGAATAAAATTTTGTGACTTAGTCAAAGTGTTTATACTTAATTTTGTCATAGCTTTTTTGAAAATATAATAATAACATGTAGAAGCAACATAACCAATTTTTTCACACTTATAACATTTAATAGTTCTTGGGTCTTTTTCTTTAAAGACCTTGGTGGAGTGGGTAGAGTTGTTTTCTTGATTCCTTTTATGAAAAAGTTGATTATTTGTCAGAGTGATTTTGTTTGAAATAGTCAATTTTTTTTTCCTTAGTAGGTGCATTAATTATTTTATTGATTTGTTGATCTTTTACAAGTTTAATTTTAGAAATAACATTTAATTTTTTCTTGAGTTCATTTATAAACTCAGTTTCTAGAAAATACTTTATTAATTCATTTAACTGTTTAACATCAGATGGAAAAAAATAGGTAAAAAATCAATTAACAAAAGAAATTATCTTCCTTTCCCTTTCTATATAAAAGTGAAACATTTCTTTATAATTTTGAAATTCTTTATATATATATATATAAAAGTACATATACAAGTATGTGTATACGTATAAAGTGTAACATTAAAAGTGGAAAGTGTAAAGTATTACCTTATATTTCACTTTACTTAATCGAAAGTGTAAGATGAGACATGTATATTCTGTTTGTGTAACACTTTAGGTAATGTCTCCCCTTACCTTGTGTAAATAGCTTGTTACATTGTTATTGTTACACTGTTATTGTTACTTCCAATATTACCCTATAACACTTTACACTTTCCATTAAGAAAAGTGAGACAAAAGAAAATACTTTACACTTTCAATGTAACACTTTACACGTATATATATATATATATATATTTATACAAATACACATGAATCAAGGAGTATTAAATACTAAAATTCTCCTATAAAATTAGGAGATATTTAATGTACCACTTTTCAAAAGAACATACACATGGATTAATAGAGGACAAAAATGTCACAAAAAAATTAGGCAAATTTGAATTGTGTACTTAGATACAAATAAGTATCAAAATTAAGGACTTAATAACCCTACATTTTTTAGTGTGTATTTTTTGCCAAATATGTCTAATTTGGTATATCCCTTACAATTTACTCTCTTTTTTTTGTAAGTAAGTCTGAATTTTCTTAAGTTCTACAATTTTTAACTAAATTTTAACACTGTCTAAGTTTCGATACGACGGTTTGGTTCCCCTCTAATCCTCAAATAATTAGTGGATTTTTCAATTCATTTTGAATGTTGATCATCTATTTACATCAACAAATCTAATCTCACTTATAAAGCACTTAAAATTTGAAAATTCAAAATGAATTCTTCTCTAATGAATTTAATCTCTTTGACAGGAATAATAACAGCATTTTTAGGAACTACTTTAACTCTTGCTCAAAAAGATAGTAAGAGAGGTTTACCTATTCTATAATGTCTCAATTAGATTATATGGTGTTAGCTCTAGGTATGGGATCTTATCAGACGCTTTATTTCATTTTTTTTTCTAAATTAAAAGGTGGTCAGGAACAATCAAGTAGAACAATCCTCACAAGACGTTATTTTAAAATTCTCACATGTTATAGAATGCTCGATTTGAACTATAATTACTACCCTCGAATGATCAAATCTGTCACCACAATAGTACCGAAAGCAAACTGGACATCAAAGTGCTTTATTTCATTTGATTACACATGCTTTGCGTTATATGTGGACAGATCCTCAATATCCAAAGAGCAATTATTTTAGAACTAGAGGGTAGTCTTACTCCCTTTTTTTTGCTTTGTTTTATAGACTTTGCCGCCTATGTTGTCAAAGTTGGACGCTAGGACAATATAAGTGACTTGCCCGTTTTCGTAAGAATAATGTTATTGGGATTTGAAAATTAATTTTATTTATTGACTTAATTACTTGTCGAGTGATAAAATCTTAACGAAAAAGTCCAATCATTACAATTGTAATAATATTATTGAACAATATAATTGTTAAATCAATAAGTTAGCAAATTAAATTATTCTTTCAGATTCCAATCAACAAACTCCTGAAAAACAGCTAAAAAAAAGGGTTAATGGCCTATAAGTTCTTGAGGAAATTTCTTGGAATGATCAATTGAGCATTGATGACCCACGCAATATTGTTTCTAGTAGTTGAAAATCCTTCTGTGCTTGTGTTCGACCCTCATGTCATGATAAGGAACTTCATTAAAAGTCAATACATTTGTTTTCATGTGCTTGATTGTAAGGTTGGTGTACAAGTTTATCTCCTTTTAAGTGGATTACAAGTAGACTAGATTCATCATTGGACATAAAAAAATAATTATAAAAAAAAATGCTTCATGTAGGTAACTAGGTTGGAGACTAAGGGAGATAATGGAAGGAAATTGTTCCAAGAATAAAACAAGGGGGGCATGGCCCATGCCATCCTTTAAATTTCAAAAATTATGTTAATATCCTTGAAATAATGTTAGCCAGGTTTTCAAAATTATAACTATACATGTTTTTAAATTTTGATAAATTATAATTTCTCTCAAAGCATTATGCAATAGAATGGAATTATTATTCGTTTGTTGAATTAATCTTATAGTGTTCTACAACTAAATCATTCAAGAATTTTGAATTAAAATCTTCTATTTTTAGAAAATAAATAATATTATGATGTATCATGTAAAAAAAATAATTTTCATAGATTTCACACAAATAAAAATTTTAATATTAATGATAGCCTAGCGAGTGACTCCCCATTGAAGGCAAAAGTCTGGTTCCGTCACCATTTGGCTCCCCGCAGGGAAAGTTTTTGGCTCCGTCCCTACTTTGGGTTGCATATTTTATGGAGTACCTTTACCTTCCACCACTCACTTATATCCGTTGTTGATTACTACCATGCTATTTCTATTTCTGATTGACAAGATTCATCAGTGTTTAGAATCAGATTAAACAATTCATAAATTGTACACAATCTCTTAAAGAAAAATAAGAAGATCGAGATGTAAGTTTTACCGATGGGTCTTTAGTTCAATGATATTTTTTATCTTATAAAAATTTTGTCTTCTTAAAGGCAAGAGTTCAAGTTCCGTCCCCTCTCCAAAAAAAAAAAAAAATATAAGTCTTGTGTTTTAAGTTGTTCTGATTGAGAAAAAAAAGAGAGAGACAACAAAAAGATTCCCGCACTAAGTTGTTCTTGTACTCAAACTGTTTTCATGAAAATTGAGAAAGTAAATAAGCTTAGAGACGTTCAAATTTTTTCCCACTTCAGCAAACTAAACCTGTTGTGTTGCAAGTGAAACCATCTGTAGAAGGGGCTATGGATGGAGAGTAATTCCAAAAGAAGACTTGTGTAATGAAGGGGCTTTACCTACCTGTCACATCTTTGCCCCTCTGGAGATGAGAATTTCACCATAAGGTACCTCCTGCTCCACTCTAATGAAGTCACGAGTGGCCAGAACTGCACATAAACCAGAGACTCGTCTCAGTTTCCATAAGCAAACCAAGACACAAAGTGCTATGTAAGCGAGGATAGAAGAAATACGTAACAATGTATACCACAAGTTTGATAGAATAGATGTGCTGCCTTTGTTTTGTTCATCCCAAAGGCTAGCTGGTTCAGAGATTCTGCTTTAGGAGCTCCTGGTATGTCAAAATGCATCTTCAGCTGCCTGCAGGCATTAAGGCCACCACGAGACACGAATTTATCGAATGAAAAAATGATTGACAATTGAACAGTAGAAAATTCAATAGATTTTAAAGAAAATTTTACATTCGAATAGAATCAGTTATCTGCTCAAAAGGTTGATTAAAGATCGGATGTTGTTGGGTTTGCGTTGGTCCAGTTTCCACCAGCAGATCTGCAGAAGTAAATAACACGAGACTGAACACTCCTATTGCACAACTGAATTGGCTTAAGAACTACAACTTGCAAAATGGAAGGCAAGGGTTGGAAGATTATATACCATTCTCAGGTGTTGTCGGGAGATTTTCAGATAGTCTAGCTAACTTAAAATTTGGATCAGGGTGCTGCCATGGATGCTCCTCTGCTACTGGTTCAAGGCCACTTCCACTGTGTCTAGGTGAAGAGTGAGGCCTTTTTTTGTTGGACCTGAATAGTTACAAATTCCAATATTCAAAACCATGCACTAAATTTTTTGGCATGTTATTTCAGAGACTCCAAATAAAACCCCAAAATAATTTTATGTATCTGGAAATTAACGTCTATGACTTGCAAATTCTACTAACCAGCCAGAATTGCCACCGGAATTATGTGACAGGAAACCGTGGGCAGATCCTGAGCTGGGGATGGATCTTACTTCATCACCTATGGTTCAACATGAAGCAAGAGCTTTATTAGGAATTCCCTCATGGTCATCTGAAAAAAGTTAAGACTTCTCATAAGAGAAGTGAAATACGATTCAGATTTCATAAGGTCTACTGCACCAGAATTTCCAGGAGTGACCATCAGATTGGCCTCAGTCACCCTTTCCCCATTGGCCAGAGTTATTCTCACTCCATTGTTCATGAGATTGGTTCTTAGCTCCTCCATGAGAATTTCAGGTGGAAACTCATTGTTGTTAATATTTGCCCTTTGCTTCTCTATGGAAGCTCCCAGGGATTGGGAGCCGATGCCACTCTGAAAATCTTCGTAAGGCTTCACATTCAAGCACTTTATCAGACAAAGAACAGTAGGTTTTGCCTTGAATATATCAAAGTAAATGACAGAGAGGAAGGCATACAAATCCCATTGGATCTTGATAATGCATTCTTTCTAGTGATGGTGGTGATGATGATGATGGCTGTGGTGGCTGGGCCGCAGAAGTCCTCCCTGTATGCCATGCTAGAATATTGTTACTTTCATTCTTTTGCAAGGGGAATTAAAAAACTACCATGAGAAAAACTCTGACCAGAAGGTGAATCGTGTGGAGGTTGGGTACTTCTCATCCACAGTTCAAGAAGAGGTGCTGGATAATGGATTCTGGTATTTCCATTAGTAAATAACCCACAAACTAGTACTACCGGAGGTAGCTCCATGAGATTGGCTACCTTCATAGTAGACATGACATCCAAGTGCTACAATACATTGAAATTGAATTTTATTGATTAATCGTTATGTATTTAGTCAAACACAACTCATATTCCATGATAAAGAACAGTGAGTGAGATAATAGGGAATTTCTGACTCTGTATGATTAAGTCGGCACATTCCCCCCTAGCTAAAACTCCTGATATTTACTAGGGAATTAAGATTTGTGTTCCTCAAGAAACAAGTGTAGTGGTTGAACTTTTCATTTGTCTGAAAATGTGGAATTGAACAAACTTTAATGCGCAGATCTGCAATCAGGGGCATACCTTTCTCTTTCTTCCTCTTCTCGAGACCATATCAGATGCATTCTGAAGCCAAGATTGGTATATGGGACCAGGGATGATGGTTTGTTCATAATCCATGGCAAAAGCTGCTGGCCTTTTGGCTCTCCTTCGAGTTGTCCCTTGCCTCTGTATATCCTGCTGCGGCTGCAACATCACATTCACATAGTAGCATGGTTGTTCTATGTTAAACAGCTTCATTTGTTTATTCCTCAAATACCGTTAAAGCACTAGCAGATTAGGCTACCTGATTGGTTTCCTTGCCTTCATCTGATTGTTGATTGACTTGGTCCTCAGGATGCTGCTCCAGGATTTCATCAGCTGCAAGAAGGCCAGAGCTTAGCAATATCAAGCTTACTTAATAATTGTCTCCTTCAAGCTTTACATTCCATTGGCAAACTTTTTTCAGTTTTTGGTATTCAAGGCTTTTACACCATAGTTAAGTCCATAATTTGCTTTGTTTCTATGAAAATGCAGATGATCCATACAAGGTCTTAAGCGTAATGCAAAATATTGGGAGCTTAGTGAACACATAAAAAAGGGCATTTGTGAATAGAGAGGGAACCATGCCTGTTAATCAGCGTCTTATTTCCTGAGAATAATAGTTTGAATGCTTTCACATATTAGCATTTTGCAATCTCTTTTTTTTTTTTTTTACGCTTGAGCATTTTTACAAGTCCGAAAAGCTAGACACACTTCAGCTTGCCTATATATGTAAGTAACAGACCGTTAGAGGTCTGAAGCATTACTGTGTTGCTTACGTTTTCGAGGCTCTTGAAGGGGTGGAGAGGGTATAATAGTGCTTGGGAATTGTGTGTTCTCTTGTGGATGGAAATTCACTTGTGTATCTTCATCCCCTTCAATATCAAACCTGCCGTACCATTCACATCAAACAACTTACAGAATGTAACAGAAGAATATTATACTCCTTGCGTACAAACAGACTGACTAATTATAGAGATTCCATGGTATAGAGGAAGTGAGGAACCCACTGGAATCATGATGTTGCAACTAGACAATTAAAAGCACATTTCAAAAACCCTGTTACCAATATTTACATTTGCCATCATGATTAGAAATTACCTTTCAAAGCGATTGTAGTCTGTATCCGCCTGATACGAATCAAAATGTTCAAATAAGGTGATATTATCAACATCAGCTGTGAGAGAGGGGGGGGGTCAGATGATGATATAGCTAATAAATTTGACAAAATGAACATTATAGACAAGATTTCGTGTGCATATAACAATGGCATTAAACATTGAGGAAGGTTAACCGGAAACTATTGAAAAAAAACAACCTTGATGGTAGGGCTGGGAAAAATCTTCTTCTGTTGGGTTGTGATTAATATAGGGTTCATCTACACTGTCCAATTGCTGCACACGTAGAAAGGTCAAGAGATATTAGCTAAAGTAATCTTTCAAGAGAATAAAATCCCATTATGTTCAAGATTAGTAGATCTGTAACACAGCGACTGACTGTCTTTATGCAGAAAAAATTGTATAAAACAAAATGAGAATTTTAAGTGGAAAAGGAAAATCCTGAAGCTATTTTTTATCTCCCACTTTTGAGGGATTCAATTTAAAAAACAGAGAAAGAGCAAGCATCCTCCATGCGGCTATTTTTAGTTGTCACTTCCTGGACAGTGCATTTTATTGTAACTTGGTGCATGTTTATCAAATAATAATAATAATTTGACGATCATTTCCTTTCTTATAACTACTATAAACATTTTTTCCATGCAACATGATTTTCTTCATATCTATATACACACACCCCTGCATATAACAATAATCCATTTCCATGGGTACAATTGTAATGGAAGTGCATATGCTAAATTCCACAAATACATTGGACCTCATACGCAGCTAAGAAACATTTTTCTCAAGCTGGAAACATAATGCCAATTTTTAAACAGTTCGGAGTCCAAACACTTGACAGAGTCATGTGAGCACTACACCATCAGGCACGTACATCTCAACAGTTGCAATCAGGGTAGTTTCCATTATTTAGAAAGAAAAAAAATAACAAAATTGAAGGGCTATTACGTCATTTGGAACTTTTGTAGTGTTCTGTAGCTTACCATTGCTATATAGGAGGTTTGTTGGAACCCCATCATTGTGGATGCATTAGAATATTGAAGGGACTGCTCAAACTCTCCAAGGTCTGCCTCCTGATTCTCTGGCAGTGTAACAGCTTCGTATCTGCAAAAAATGAAGAGAAAGCCCAAAACCTTAGGGTGACATTTATACCCTCCAGTCTTCTTTCTGCAACGCTGAACTTACCGCTACACTATGCCATGTGAAGCTAAAGTAAGCCCCATGGAATGGGCACTAGTTTAACCTAACAGAGTTTTTTAACTTTAATCAACTTTAATTTCATACTCGGATATCACATTAGTAAATGTGAGAGGTCATTTATGAAAATTTAAATTAGCATAGACTTCCAGCTGTAGTTACGTGCATGCTAGAATAAGCCGACTTGTCTGTTAAGTTTGCAAGCATATCATGCTAAAATGTGCGGTTTCTTACTGAAATGCATACCACATTGTCATAGAGTAGAGAAGTAAGAATAAGATAAAATCAAACTATTTGTGGTGAATTTAAGTCTGCAATCATAATATGCTAGAATGATGCCTTTATGGTGACTAAAATTTTCAAATATGCTATCATGCGCCCGTTCCGAGCGGGTATCAACAATACTGAAACGAACACACACACACACACAGAGTGAGAGAGACTGACTTGGCCTGCGATTTGCCCTTGGGGAGGACGGTTGGATCAGGAGCAGCTTTAACCTTCCACGCTTCGTTTATTTCCACCTGAGAATGTCATCAAATTACACAAAATGTACATCAATCTTCACAATCGTTAACAAATCGAAATAGTTCGGTAAAAACAGAGAGTGCGGGATTCGAGTGATAATTGACGACGAAGTTGATGCGCATAAGTACCAGCAGACGGGTAACATCATCTGTAATGAACACCATCGAACCAATAAACAAATATCAGAAGAATCCCTTGACAAGATATACAAATGAATTCGAAAAGAAGCAGAAATGTGATCAAATAACTTCAAAGAAATTAAGTAAAAACTCTACCATAGAGGAGTTTCACTTTTCTTTCGTAGACGATCACTACACCACCTGGAAACAAATGAAAACAGCGTCAATGGTTAGTCTCAATCGATGAGAAATCAGAAACAGATGAAATACTGAATGAACAGAAATAGAGCTTACCCATGAGTATTCCAGAGAGTCTAAGCGCCATTGGAACCGATGGATTCAAGATCTGTTCGCTGTGAAAAATAACTGAAAATTTAGAGGATAATTGACATTGGTGAATTGATATAGATTTGCTTAAAGATTATAAAGCGAAAAAGCCTAACCAGATCTTGATAATGTTGAGTTTGTCAAGCTTTCTCCGATTCATCTTCGCGTGCATCGTTGCCGCCATCCTTTATACAAAACACGTACAAAAAAACGGAGAAGAAATCAATCTCTTCACTCATGATAATTTGCAGAAACGGTTTAAATTCATCGAATTACCATCCAAGCAGCTTAAATTAAACCAGAAACAATTTCAAAAGAGCAAAAACAAAGTTCATTGGATTTGAAATCAACAACTCCTAGTCAACAGAGTGTTCATAAAACAGAAACAGAGAGAATCAATCCATAGATATGCATGAACTATGAAGTAAATTTACAGAAGCAATATGAAAGGGAACAAATAGAAGAGTTGAAGTGCTAACCATATCTGGCCAAGAGGCGCTTTGCGAGCAAGAAGCTGGTGAGAATAGAACATTTGATCGCTGTTGGGTCTGAGAGTACAACACTAAAATTCCAGAGTAGTAATGTTGAGTACTTGAGTCGCAGAAGGAAAGGCTGTCCAACGAATGCACGAGAGAGAGAGAGAGAGCGAGAGAGCTCACACTTCACATGCAAAGCGAGAGGAGAGAACTGTTATAGAGTGGTTTGTTAGCTTCGAGAGGAATGTTGTATGTGATACGGTTACCGTGTGCGTCTTGCTTTTTCATGCTACCAACATCTTTGTCACAAGTAAATATAGAAAAAAATTATTTGGACCTAATTTGAGGATTTAATCCAAAAATTTAATGATGTATATCCATCGAATTGATTGTGGGTCCATTTAACATCAGAACTCGCAACTAATCTACTAATTACATTAAAATCACATCATTAAATGCTCAAATAAGATCTATGGCATTGCTCATATGTGCTATACAAAATACACTTAAGTTTTTTTTCCATATGGGTTATACAATTTATATACATCCTAACATTGTTTTAACCGCATGTTTAACTAACTGTAATTCTAGTTAATGTATAATAAGAAGCCACACTCAGGTCAGATTATAATCATATTTTCTTCTTTCTTTTTGTTTAGTTTAAAGGTCGAGAATATTCGAACCACCTTATTTATATCTCAACTAATTCTCTCGCTGATGTGCTTAAAAGCAGATCGGAAAAACGATCTGGTCAAAGGAATACCTAATAATTTTTAAAAAATACAATAATACAACAATTTTTTTAAAATTATGACAATATATGAGGTTGTGATTGAAAATTTTTATTTCCTATTTGTCAAGTTGTAAAGGTAATTTTAATTTTGAAAAGAATTTCTGTGGCTTCATCCTCTGTTTAGACTGTCACATATATTCATTAATGATAGATAGGGAATGCTAAGAGACATAAAATAGAATGGATTTCTAGGAAGGTTTAAACAATAAAGGGACGTATTTGAAAATATGATAAATTAATTTTTCTTTTTTGTTTAAATAATATTATTTAAATTTAATTTATTGATCTAGTCTATTACTTTGATGAATTAATAGTGGATCGTAATATTACTCTAAATGCTATTAAGTCTTAAAAAATTGATCTAATTTACTAATATAGTAATGTGTCAAGTGATAAAATTTTAAAGAAAAAGTACACGAATTACACTCAGAGCACTACTATTGAACCGTGTCATTATCACATAATTAGCTTAAAAAATTAGATTAATTTTTTTTGGCCCTAATAACATTACGCTAACATTAATTAATCAATTCAATAACAATTTAATTTTAAATTAATAAATCAGAGTAAAAAATTAGATAACCTTGTTTTTTGTTTAGCTAATTGTCATGGTTGAAAAAGGATATCCACAACTGTCTGCAAGGTAAATTACACTCACATTCTCTAACTTTTGATTTTATTATACAGACACCCTTTTATATTTCAAAAATTACATTGAAACCCTATTAAATTAACGACGTTAACGACATAAATAAAAAGACTATTTTACCCTCACATTAATTACTAATCTAGACACAAGACCCAAGACCTTTCCTCCCTCAAAAGTTGATCACACTCACTCACACACACTCTCTCTCTCACGACGTATCAGAGCCCCAACACCCAGCAGTGCAACCATAACAACCCACACTCCCGTCTATTTTACTAGCACCCACCACCATCAAGAACTTAATCAACACTTCCACCGGCTGACATCTCACCAAAGACAAAGACAAAGACAAATCCATCCACATTATTGCCACCCATGGGATTTGATCTCCGATTAACACACAAATGGATCTTTACCTAAGGTTTGCAATCTTCATCTCTTTCTCTGTCTCTGTCTCTCTCTCTCCCTCTCTCTATGTGATCAGTGGTTTTATATAGGTTCATATCTCTCTCCTTCTATTTCTCTATCTTTTTGTGATCGGGTTTGCGATGAGTGGAAATGGTGGTGTAAGGGGTAGAACCCTCTACTAAGGATTTCGGTTTGACCTGGGTTAACCCTTTACCTCTCTTCGCCAATAGGACCCTTTCCTAAGGCAATTCCACATCGGAAGAGAGTCGTCTCCCCCCCTCCGCATATAAGCCCTTGCACTCAAAGGAGGAGGTACCCACTAGGCACCTGATCAGGTCGCTAGTGGGTACCTCCTCCTTTGAGTGCAAGGGCTTATATGCGAGGGGGGGAGACGACTCTTTTCCGATGTGAGATTGCCTTAGGAAAGGGTCCTATTGACGAAGAGAGGTAAAGGCTACTGGGGGGTCGCCCGCGTGGGTTAACCCAGGTCAAGCCGAAATCCTTAGTAGAGGGTTCTACCCCTTACA